TATATATATATAAACAGACATTCATTATCCAGACAAGATACATTCCATTTCAATCTTCCCTTCTGACAGAACTTTCTTTTTAATCGACTTGGAAAGAGGGAAAATGAAATTTGTCGTGTATATACTTTTATTTTTATGAAATTTAATTATTTAAGGTCACTCATTTTATGTTCGTTTAGTCATGACTTTCAAAAATGTGCTTGCATGAAGAAATACGCGTAAAAATATCCTGGGCAATGAAGACAATTATTACAAGAGCTCTGTGTCTCTTAAGCGGAAGACACTCGAATATTTACAATGTAAAACGAGCCTCAAGGTTCGTTCTTTGCTAACCTGAAAATAATTCCTTCTAACATACGTGCTGTCAGTTAGCAACACAGTTAAAACTTTTATAAAGATACCAGTGATACAGAAAGTCGATATAAGAGGTAATGATGTACAACAATAATGGCAGACGACTGATGGGTTGCATAGTCTATGAGGAGTAGGCAAATATTCATTACTTAATTGTTCTGTCAATTACCACCGCATATTGATAGTCACTATTGAAGAAAGACGATTAGATTCTAAATTGAGCCATAATCTACTAATGTCTCAAAAATAATAAAATCGATTGCCACTCTTGAAGTTAGTGGCCAAACATTGTTACTTTCATTTTGTGTTAACTGAAGACAGTTGAACTTGACATATTACAGTACATATTAATTAAGTACAAAAATGTGTCACTGAAGCCAAGAGAAATTAACTCGGTTCTGGAGATATTTGGCAGACTGTTCTAGCGGAGATAGGCATTAAAGAATTATTGTTAAATCAGAGGTAATAATAATAATATGCTCTCTTTCCTAGAGCTAAAATAATCCCTGTGACAAGTTTAAAGTGAAAAGTTGTACTAATCTTCGTTCTAAATTTTGAAAAGCAATAAATGTGACAAAATTATATTTACTTGGCTGTTCGCGAGACGCCGCGTCCTAGGCGCAGATGCCAACGGTTAGGCCTGATACGGTGATCTTTCTCAGGGTGAAATGCACGGAGATAACTTGTCCTGAGGAAAGACTGTTTCTATACAATTAAAAACTATCTGACTATCAAAAAGAAAATTGTTGTTCATTTTAACAAAAGTGATAAATTGAATTAGTTTACATTTGAATTGTATATTTTTTTAAATGACTTAACATGTTTGTAACAACTAATGTACTTCAGTTTCCGGGTCCACGACCCCCATCTCGATCACGTTTTGTCCAATTTCCCAGATCCATTGAGCAAATGCTTACAAGGCCCTTTGTTTTGCTTCTGGACGTAAATGTAGCTTCACTATGCGCATGTGTTGTTGAACTCTCCTTTTGCTTGTAATGGTTGGAGTAGGTAAGGGCGAGTTACTATTTTGTTAGTAATGCAGAAAAAATCATACTTGCAATTCGTTTACCGAAATTAAATAAAACTCCGTAAATAAATAAAATTATACTTTCTTCGCTTTGTAATGGCTTGCTGAATTGAGTTCGATTCCTCATTAATTCAATAAATGAGATTGATAACACGGCACCGAAAAAATATTTATAGGAGAGATGTATACGAGCTTTCAGAGTACAAATTCTGTTGAAATTAAATCAAATTAACAAAAATAATAGTATATTTTTCGCAAAGTAACTTTAAATTTATGAAGTTTTTCACCTCAATGTGCATAATGCTCGCAGATAACGTTTTAAAATCGAAAGAGGTGTGGCGTTAGATGCAAAAAGAAAGGAAATCTGTGGTTAGTGGTTTTCAGTCGATATCAGAATTTAGGAGTGGCTCTTTATATTAATATTAAACACATTATGAAATCGTATTTTGTCTAACTGAATTTCTTGGAAAGGTGCAATATTGTTTCTAAGCTGCCTCTGGTGCATCTTGTGGTATGTACGAATACACGTTGTGAAGGGGAGAAATCTACAAGGTGAGAAATATCAACATTGCACTTGTCAGTTCAAGCCAGGTACAATACTATTGAGTAATTAAATACTAAAATAATAAATACCCACAAGATAATTATAGACATACGTAAGGTCGGCATTTACACAATATAGTGCCGTAGATTGGGCACTTGTAAAACATTTATTAAGTAGAGTTTTCTTAGTTTCAAGCAACACACTACAAATTAATACATCTCTCCGTTCGACGTTTCATAGAATGAGAGTTTGGGTGCTTATATTGATCACAAGCCTCTTGGCGATTGGAAGTGCTCGAAAGCCAGCTCCGCCGCAGCCTGTATTCCATGGTCATTTTCGCAGTGAAAATCAACGACTGAAAATTGGTGAGTTATATCTCTTAGAATAATGACTAGGTGACAACTCCCAAAGATATTTTTCAAAGACCTTAAATACAAACAATAGATTTTAGAGGATATCATAAATGTTTTTAAAGATTGCTGTTCCAATTACATATATTACAATAACAAAACAATTACTCCAGGGATAGTTGTACATTTCATACACTTTAGAATCAAACATACAAATGAGTTTCAAGTAAATTTAGAACATTTTCAGTGGAATTTCAGATTGAAAATGTCTTCAATAACTGATGACGCAATTCGTGAAAGCTACCCTTTTTAATGTATTTACGTAATGAAAAAAATGTTTGATTTCAGTACTAACACTACATCATGTAAGTTTATATTTTGTGAAGATAAATAATTTTCGCTGTTAAGAAGATATTCTCAACTTAAAAACATCCGGAACTAAATGTATTGGCTACTGCTCATTCATGCAAAACTACATTTTCAGCGGACAAAATAGCTCATTGGTCGAAGAGGGACAAGACCAATCCATGGGAATTGGGTGGTCTCTACCAAGGTGATATTATGGAGGCTGACAATCTCGATACTCGCAGTGGAATGGAAAACCCGGGTGCTCGATGGCCAGGCGGCATAGTGCCGTATTACATTCAAAAAGGATTTTTCAGTAAGTTATTTTCTATCTGCATTTGTGGAACTTGGCTTTCAAAAGAAAACATCAGAAATAGTAATATATAGTGAGGTATTTACAACAACAACAATAATAATAACAAAAATAAAGGGTGTATAATATAATATAATATTAACGACTAGCAGTTGCAAAAGCATTGCTAGGGAATTTACATACCGCCCCATCCGCTTCTCTCGCTCGGTAATTATTTCCTTCCCGGCGCAAGTGTTAAGTAGTGTTTTTCAGTCCCTTCGCAAAAGGGAAATTAATCCTTCTTTTGACACGTGCTGCGTCTTTTGCAGTAAGCCATGGGTCGTTCCTGTCTCGTGCCGTACGCTTGGTTCAGTTCACATAAAATTCACGTAGGGCAGATAGTTCTCATAGAGAAGTATAACTACGAAGTTGTTTGAGCTAATGGAGTTTTAATAAAATTGGTGAAAAGGAGACTAAAAAATATCACATTTCGATGTATGTGAATAGTGAAATAAAACTCACGGTAATCATTTATAATTGTATTTTTACCACAGAATAGTTCCTTTGTTTATGTAGCACAAAACAACAAAGTAAATAATTTTTTACATAATAATCCATAAAATTATCTTCAGTTTTTAAAGCTTCATTTATTCTACTTCTTCGAAAATTTAAAAATTGGAGTATTTACGAATACGCACGACGAATTAACAATCTTTCAATTTCGTATTTCTCTACCAATCTAAGTTGTCTTTCAATCAAGTATTTTTTATTAACAAATTTAAAATAACATTAATAATTAAATTCAAAGTTGTTAAATAAAAACTATTCAAAATATACTTCGAATTCGTTAAGTGTTTTTTGCTCATTATGACGTCATTTCTGTGAAAAGTAATTTGAAAGTTTCCGACGTTTTGAATTTAAATTTATTTAAAAACACATACACATTTTAAAAGGGCGAATATTCAACATTTTTATTTAAAACGTTACATTTCGTACTTTTTAAGTATTATTGTGCGTTTTTAAATAAATTAAATTTCGATATAACAGCGATTTCAAAACATCTTTTCACAGATATAGCATCATAATGGATATATTCGCACGGTTCAAATGATTTCATGAGTCCGCCTGAAAAATTTTCCTCTACTGTCATAACGTAAAGATTTTTATCTAAGGATCTAATACTACATTATTAGAAATAAATATTTTATGAAGGAGGATCTGCTTTTAAATTTAAGTTATAATTGCTTTTTGATACTGCAGTCACATTATTTTCATATGTGGTCGGTATAAACATTCGAAGAAAAAAAAGTACCAATTACAACTGAAATGAGTGAGCCTTTCTTTTCCAGATGGACATCAAATTCGAATAATTCATTCCGCAATTAATGAATTTCATAAACGCACTTGCATCAGATTCCGACCGTACAAAAAGGGTGATTCTTCCTTCATTGTGATCAAGGGACAGAAAGGGGGCTGCTGGTCATACATTGGACGTGTGAGCAACCGTAGAAAACCAGGACAGCAAGTAAATTTACAGATACCGGGCTGTGTGCATCGAGGAGTTGTCGTTCACGAGCTCATGCACGCTATCGGCTTTTACCACCAACATAGTGCCGCCAACCGAGATCGCTACATTAATATTATTTGGCACAACATTAGACCAGGCAAGTTGCTGTATCATAGGTAAGTTAAAACTTTCCTCCCACATATTCTTACGTAATTTATTTTCAGCTGATAAACACAATTTTGACAAACGAAGGACAACAAATTTTAATGTCGGGTACGATTACAATAGCATTATGCATTATAGTGCTTTTGCAATGTCCAAAAACAAGCAACCAACCATTGTTCCTAACGTAAGTAAAATTGACGCGAATTGAAGTTTAGTATTTCATATGTAATGACTAAGATTAATTACTGAATATTCTTCCTTAGGACAAGAGAGCCAAAATAGGACAAAGGCAAGGACTTAGTCGGAAAGACGTTATGAAAATTTCGAGAATGTATGGCTGTAAAAAAAGAAGGGGTAGAGCATCCTCCTGAGAATGACACAATCACTGATGAAAGGGTGAAAATGGGAGTATTGCGTCTGATGAATAATAAGATCAAACACTTGCATACCAAACAACTCAAATATTATCCAAATATACAATGTTTGCAAGAGGGGCTATTAGGGGCAACATACTATTGACAGAATATTAATAATATTGATATTAAATTATTACTAAATACAGTAGATTATTCACATTAATAAAAAGTATAAAATTTGTAAATAAATGTTACGTTTATGTAAAACTCAACTGTGAAATGTCTGCCTATTACAATATTTCAAGATTTTAATAGAGCAATTTTTATTTTGTTTTACAAGCAACAATGAGAATTTTAACTCGGTGTGAAATCTAAAAAATCGAACGTCGAAAATACATTTCAATTTACTTTAATTATTGATTGTATTACAATAAATTCACCAAAAATATATCAGATTTAACCAAACTTAAAACCTTTAAATGATTAAATTTTTAAATTTTCTATCACTTAAACATTTTTGGATCGAAAAAAGATTTGGTCAATAATTAATACCATCGGATAAAACGATAGGTTAGTTTACATGAAAATTGAGATATACAATACAAATAATGTCAATACTGTTGCACTGACAATCAATGATAAAAATATTACTGCTCATTCTTATTTTTAACCTAATATGACTGTAATACACCTAGTCGAAGACGAGAGTTTATTCATGTAAAAAATGTAGTTTGATTAAATTATATAACTAACTTTATTATTTTTATTATTCTCAATAATTTATTTCAAGTACCCCTTCAGTTTCACTCAGTCCATTCAAACAACGCAATATTCAAGTCACATTTATTTTTCTATAGCAATGAAAAAGTTGATCTCTAGTGCCTTTGACTTTAGCTAAAAACGTGCAGATCTAATAAAGAGAACTAATAGATCATCAACTCAGATGCCGAATGGCATTAGACAATCTAAACTAGTGGTGCTACAGAATGAAAATGATTTTCCCGAATTAGTTTTCTATTTCCTTTGGTCTCGGCTAGCTATACGAACTTGCCACATACCCTTGCTAGTTGCAATCTCTGGCCGCCCATTTTTAATAAATGTTCTCCATTTTTCGGTTTCCTAATAGTAGAACGGAAATATTATTTTAGAATGTTAAAGAACAGTAAAACCTCGTCCTAAATGGCAATTTTCATTGAAAAATGTTGAGAAGCTTTTATGAAAATGGCGCTTAAGCACTACTTTAAATTAGAAATTTGAAGCTCTTTTTCACAGAAAAGTTTTGAGTTTTCGAAAAACTTCATTAGTCGTTTGAAGCACATTAACTCACAAATGTGCATATTAATGACGTGATAGATATTTCAAAAAAATATATTTATGCCATTTTTAAAAAACAAAAAGCACTCAGAAATGAACGTCGTATTAAAGAGTGCAATTAGCACTACCCGTTCGAAAAGTTTGAAGAAAACATTTCGAGATATTTAAAAAAGGCATTTGAGCATTTGTAAAAATGCGGAATTTTGAGTTAGTTTTCACAGCAAACTGTTGAGTTTCCCAAAAACTTTATTTGACATTATTTAAAGCACATGTATGCGTAAATACAATAATGTGACCAAATTTCTGCTAATATAAATATTAACGACGTGAGAGAAGTCAAAGAAATTACATTTTTGTCATTTTTGTCAATAAAGTAATATGTCATCTATATCATCATATAGAGTACATTTGGTACTATCCCTACTAATCGTTTAAAGACACAATTTGGAGCCGTTTTTAAAACAATCTTGTGTTTGTAAATTTTTAAAATTGCACATATTGCTTATAATATTGCGCTGAGACTACTAAAATTTCCAATAAAAAGTGCATGACCTTACAGAAAGAACTTACTATTGTGAACGAATTTTATTTGAAGGAAAAATCTTTATTTTCAAATGTCTAGTTGTAAGAAGACACTCGAAAAGTTTTGAAATTTTCAAAAATTCAGAGTTAAACCTCAAAATAGGACCTATGCCACCTTTATAAGTGTATTTTACTCAATTCTCTTTACAGAAAAAATTTGTAGCCATTTTTAAGAAAAGTTTGAAAATGCTGTTTCATGTAAAGTACCCCCAAATTATAAAGATTGGTTGTCAAAATCTCAAAGATTTGACTCAAGCCTGATCGACACGCGTTTCATCAATTTGGAAAAAATCCTTCGAATGGTTTAGGCGCTAGTAGTGTTGACAGACGGACAGAAGGACGGACGGGCGTTATGAAAAAAACTACTTTTTCAGGGGTCTACAAAAAATGTATTTCCGCGGACATCTTGAAATCGATTTTCCGTAGCATTACTTAACTTTCCATATACTACGTATATTACTCCGAATATACGTACGTATACGGGGAAGTAATAAGGAACGTTTCCATATTATAGTTCATTGAGCACTCTCTCCTATGGAAAAATAAGTTGAATATCACAAAAACACGGCCTGTTGGTAGTACTCGATGGGCACTTGGAACAGAAAAAAATAATTTTGATGAACTGTTATAATACACGATCATCCAAAAAGAAGCGCAACTATTTTTAGGGCTTATCATTCGAAATATACATAATACATTTTCTTGTATTGTTATATCCGCAAAACATCGCTAAACTAAGGTATGAAAAACCGCTTTCAACAACCGGTTTCCGGTAAGTATTTTAAAGGCCGCTATCCCTTAACAAGAACAATTAAAACAATGTTGAATTATATCTGAAGATGATACATGATCATATATCAAGAAAAAAGTATTTCTTAATTTTATGAATTTTTCTAATAAAAGTATTGAATGGTATTCGGCCGATAATACTAATATTGGACTTTGTTGGTTTATGTAAGGTGAGTATTACTTACGTCTTAAATAGTTAAAAACTGTGACGTATGGGATCTTGTACGTTTTGTACAGCTCCAGAATCTCTTCCCTCACTCGTTTACTATCTTAAGTTGAATTATAAGAGAAGCAGCGAACATTTTTGGCAAAATTTAATTATTATTTTAATAACTATAGCACTGGAGTGGTCGTAGAAGAAGTTCAAAGAAGCGCCTTTGTCGCATTGATCACAAAAGTGTTTTGCTTTGATAACCGATCACACTTGGCAACACATTTGATCCTGGAAGTTCTTCTACCTTCTTCCCACTCTACCTCCCCGCGGGCGGAATGGGGGCTCCGGGCTTGCGTTGTTAATTCACTTTTACTCCTGGGGAAGGGATAGAAATTTTATCGCCAGGGCAGCGAGATTTTCAACGTAAATCACATCATTAGTGGCAAGGGAAGCGGCTATGAGTATTCGGATTGGGGGCTCCCTTACGCTCGTGTTTAACAAGGGAAATCCCAGTTGTGCGCTGGTAATTGAATATGGATTGAGTGGCGCAATATTGGATTCCGGTATCGACCCGGAAAGTTGTTGCGATTCTAACCATACTCAATTGGGTAGACACTCTGGAAGGACGTTAGGTTTCGGCGTATCCGGATGCCAGCCTGTAGGCATACCTTAATACGACCTAAGGGGGCTGTGAAGAAGAACAACGCGATTTTATAAGAAGATATACTCACGGTCGATAATGCGAATAACTTACTGTTAGTTATTTGCTGTTTAAAGACTTAATGATGTTAATAACTACACAAAGGAATTTGTATTCCATTGTGTGCAGGTTCCACTCGATCGTTCCAATCACAGTGTTTTTACTATGTTACGGCAACGATGACCTAAATGATGTAATGTGTCATTTTACCCTCATTAACGAATTGTAATGGACGTCATAACGTGGAGAACAGTACCACTACAATAGGTACATTACCAATCTACCTGAAAATGCAATGAGCGGTAAATGCAATAAGACGGTTCACATTGGACTCCAGATCTTTCATAAGATTGGAGAAGTAGAGAGATGAACCTACAGGTCATTGACATTGGCTATGAGAACAAAACAACTGGAAAACTACTGTGCTCCACGGAACAAATACAATGTTAAAATAAATTTAAAATGTGACAAAAAGTCGACAGACTGATTGAAAGGAGAAGCAATTGAAAGGTTGATGAAGAAATGAAAAATATACATATTCAAGGGAAAATGCTATATACGTGCATTATTTAAATCGATCATTTATTCAATAATTTTAATTATAAAGTTTGATTAAATTAAGAGAAACGTTATTTGGTTCTCAATTCATTTGTATCACAAAATCGAAAAATAAGGCATAAAGATTGAGTCACACCGCGTCCCTAGATGTGGTGCTAGAGGAAGTCTGTGGTTGGTGGTTTCCAACGGCCTGTTTTAAGCCAAGGTGTTTATCAGTTTATCAGAGCTAACATATGATCGCACTTTTCTTAGTTACAAAGGAAGGTTGGTTAAAATGCCCATTCCGTCCTATTCCTTTGCGTAGTGAATAAAGGAAAGAAGATTTCATAAATGCTTCGTAGACAAGGTAAGACAATTATTCAATTTATGATTTGATAATACTAATTTACACGGAATATTATTTCTCTTAAACAGAAAAGGCAGCAGAATATTAATTTAACACACGACCACGCACACTCACAGACACACAAACATACTCTCATACTCATGTCATCCGAATGTTGGGCAAATACTAGAAACGCTCGAAAACAATCAAAAGTATACATTTAGAACAAGTAGTATACATTTAAATAAAAAGATAATAGAGATATGGATTTTAAAGTATGCAAAATAATCTATGATTTACATTACGACAGGTTATAGAATGAGATTTCTGCTGATTTTTCTGATCTTGGATTTATTGGCAAGCACAAGTGCTCAGAAGATAGATATTCCTCCAGAACCTGCATACAAAGGGCATTTTCGAAACGACGGGGAACGAATGAACATTGGTACGTCTTTAGCTTTAAAACGTGAACATAGACAAACTATTTCCCAGTTTACACAAAACTTGAAATCAAGTCGCACTTGATCAGGGTGTAGAGAAGAATTTGAAAGCAAATCGAACCATAGAATCCCTGTATTAATTCCCAAATTCCAACATGGCACATGGAGAGAAAAAGGAAATGAATAAAGTAAAGAGTATTTCATTAAGCTATCGAATTGCAATTCTAATAACTATAAATTTAAAAGGCGATAAAGTAAAAATGTCACTAGCTTACCACGCTATGTTGCTAAGGAGTTTATGGTTTCTTTCTATTAAAAATCAGACGGTACTTCATAAATATCATTAATGTTTCAGGTTTTTAACTTTAATATTGAGGAAAAAATGGACATTCACTGAAAAGAAAACTACTGGATTGTAATTTTTACGAAATGAACGAATTTTATGTATTTATTGTGCCTTCCAACACTAACTTATTTGGTCCCAAACACGGTAAAAAGGTTTTTCAGGTTACATAAAAGTTCTTTGGGTGTCATTCTTTGTCTGTAGTAAAAAAATGTGGAGTAAATGAATAGGTAAGTGGACCACGATGTGACTTTTGAAGCAAATTGTATGGAAAAAAAATTGGTGGCTTTACATAAATTCACATATATGGCATTTGAAAAAAATAGTTTTCATAGTAAATAAGATATCTATTTTATGTTAATATGTGTATTTTTGCACAGTCCTGGTGTTTGTAAATGAAATCTTCTGCAATATTTGAATTAAATTGATATTGACACCTTAATGCATTCTAACTTCACATGAGTTGCTTATTATGAAATTTGTATCTTCAGGGGTAAGTGCTAGAAATGCATATCTTAAGATGAAAGAATGTCGTATAAATCATAACAATATTTTTCAAGAAAAGAGTCAATGAGAAAGAGAGAGTGAATTCAATTAAAACTTGTCGCTTAAGACATTTGCTTACAATATAAAAAGCAAGCGATGAAGTCTGCCATTACAGAGTCCAAAATCCTCTTAACAAAAGTGGAAAAAGTAGATTTTTTTAATGAAAATTACAACATGTTTCTCTGCTGAAATTTTCACCACTACCTGCAAAATCTGTAAAGATATCTAAAAATTATGTGGATTGGAAATTTCTTAATCGACACAGCAGTACATTTTATTCACAATTTAGGAACTTGACTTCTCACTTAAATGTTTCTTTGTTTTATAGTCACAGTTGGCTGATGATGAATCATTAGAGTGAACTTAACACAATTCCTTGAATTTCTAATTAGCCACTCTACGTCCAGATAAGGTGCGACTTAATCGTATTTCATTACATACCTACTGTGTAATTTCTATAATTGAAAAAGATTATGAGCATGAGAGCGAGTTATATGTTTAGTTTATTGCAAGGCATCAAAAAAAAACGTTTCAAGTAACGTTCCTGTTGTAAAAACCTTAGGTTTTAGTTACCGTTTGGATACATAGAAAAACGTATCCCAGTGGTTTTCTCACCTTTGATGATGTATTTCCACTCAGATCCTACGTTCAAAATGTGACCGACACGTCAGATTCCTCTGCAATTTCCATTTCAGAAAGAGCAATAGGTTAAATATAAATGTATCATAGTAGTTTGGCTTCAGGTTTCATACAACAATTTCCCTTTCTTGAAGTGTTACTGCATTTGAAATATGAATTATTTAGGTACCAAAGGGTGTGAGTAATTTGTTCACTTTTAATATAAATTATTGAACCTAATTTTAAAGAGTTCAATTCGCTTTTCTACCTGAGACAACCGATAAAATCAAAAATAATATCTTATTTTTTAGAGATACTGGAAAAACAACTGAAACTTTTTAACAACATAAACCACTTTCTGAAACGTGAACCCAGCATAACAAGTTGCACGAAATTACATGGATAATAAACATCAAAGCGTATTTTTTTAAGATTCCAACGATTTATTTCATGAAAAAGAATCTGTTTCGGTCTCACTCCTTAGTCTTTCAACGGTTTGATTGATGCCTTGGTTTATAGAGCAGTGGAACACCCAATAATTACGTGCCTATTAGAAATCTACTTCTCACTCTTTAGCCAGAAAGGTAGCGCACTGGACCCCTAAAGAGAAGACTACTGCTTGGGAAGAAAGTGGCCTCTACCAAGGAGATATTATGGAACTCGATGACCAAGACAGTCGTAATGGTGTGGAAGGTGATGGCAAGCGGTGGCCAAATGCCACAGTGCCCTATTACATCCATAAGGATTTCTTCAGTAAGTTTAATGCTTAAATAGTGTGTTTAAAAACACCATTCATCTTCAGGTTCAACACGTATCGAATGTAGGGACATTAAGTGTCAAGTGCTTAAACATGCACTATTCTACAATAAATAGGCACTTAGAAGCTTATATAAATACACTCATAAAAAGGCAGCAAAATAGTATGACTAATATGAAAATTTTCTTCTTTAATCTGAATTAATTTACTCGCTCAAAACCACATTTCTTTCTGAAATTTGTACGAATAAAATCATTTCAAACGAATATACATCACATTTGATATTGTTCATTTGCACAATTCCTTTTTAATTGACAGAAAGTAGCAAACACAATGTAATTGACTGAGGCTAGGGCAGTTGCTTGTGTGATCCTCCTGCGCCCCACTCACATCTTCAAAATTTACAATCACATTATGTAATGTGCTACTCTCATTAATGCTTAGTTATGCAAAAACAAAAAACTTATAAAAACTTAAGCAGTTTAATTAAGGAATTTACTACACACAATAACTAAAATATTGGAAGTACCGCATTCCGGGGTCTCTTTGTGCCACGCGGGTAACTTTGGGCCACCAAGACGTTTAAAAACCTATTGCCTTGAACTACGCTGTATTATTTCTATCAGACGTGATGGTAGATACATAGTGCACCTGATGAGTGGTACTATCGATTGCACCTTTCAGGAACTGCTCTCATTACTGTTTCCCCGCGATTTTAGATCTTCATTTTGCATCAATTAAAGTTCTGCTCGTGAACCTCGATACATTTGTGTTGCAGCTCAGAGTACAGTAACTGTAAGGAGAATAAAGTAAGTGCACTGTTTTACAGCATTATTCACTGATCTAGTGCTATAGTATCTACTCTCTATTTTTTTCTGTATTTGAGAGAGAAATAAACTGATGGAAAGTGATGTCTATGTGTCATTACCTCCTCAATACGATATTTTCCATTTTTAGACCCTTATCTTTAAATTAGTTAAATTATACATTTAGTTTCTTGTGAAACAGAAAATTGTATAATTAATCACTAATACAGTGATGATTCTCCTCGTAATATCACTCGCCATTCATTTTCTTCTCTATTTATAAACAGGAGAATTTGTAATAGTGCAGTATGAAGGAGAGATGTTTCCTGGACAAGTCACTGCCATTGAAAGTGATTCGACACCGGTAAATGCATTGCAGAAGTCCAAGGGGTTTTGGAAATGGCCGCAGAATAGGAACGAAATCATTTACAAATATGAAGATAGAAAATTCAAAAAGAGAAGTTTTTGCTAGTCCAGAGCTAAAAAGCATTTGGGGGAAATGATACGTTGTTTTTTTATTCCGCAAGGTAGGGGAAACCCGACTAAATATTATTAACGGAATATGATATTATAACAAGATTATTTACGAAATATGTCATTAAATTTTATGTTTTAGGATTTCCGCCAGAAATGAATAATGACTGAACCTTGAAGGAATATTACACCTTAATGAAATTCATCTACATTTATATTTTACTATTTTTTAATATTTTTTCTGGTCGGTTTCAACCTGCAGGGTTGTATGAATCTGATAACAAATATATGTATGCTTTTAAATCGTAATTATCCTTCCGATGTTTGAATCCAATTAGAATTTGCTTTTGCAAAAATATTTGTGTTCACTTCAAGAAAAAAAGTCCCTCGCATTTATAAAGATAAATAGCATTAAACCAAAGTTCAAACTGACTTACGTGTTAAATTCCGTGGTAAATTCCATTTTACAATACCATGACTTATGTGTTGTCATTAAAGTTTTGGGAAAGAAAATACATCAAGTAATTCATTTACATAAAACATATTCATAATATTCCTAATAAACACGAAATTAAACTCTAAATGATGTAAGTACGAATATCTCTACTACGAAAGATTGAGATGGTTAATTGCCTCGTTTCAATCTAGTTTGGAAAATGGGCGTTATCCTCAGAATGCGCGATTTATTAATTTTTATTTGTTACATCTGACTTTTAAGGGGTCTTGCATATGTCAATAAAATATCTTCGCATTTACATTATAATATTCAATTGTGTCCAACATCATCATCTGTGTGTAAAAATAAAATTGCCGATGTATAAATAATGTCTTCGTCGCTGATAAAAGTAATGTTTTACCGATACAGTTTTACAGTGGGGTTAATTTATTTTTACAGATAAACACGAAAAAAAACGAATTCTTTCAGCTATGGATGAATTCCATAAAAATACTTGCATCACGTTTCGTCCATACAATAATCATGACTCCACCTATGTCGTAATTAAAGGAGAAAACGGTGGTTGTTGGTCATATATTGGAAGAGTTAGCGGCACTAAAAAACCAGGGCAACAGCTCAACTTACAAACACCGAACTGTGCGAAACGTGGAACTATTGTACATGAGTTGTTGCACGCACTCGGATTCTACCACCAACACAGTTCAACCGATCGAGATCGTTACGTTAAAATTCTATGGCAAAATATTAAACCAGGTGAGTTTTTTAAATACTCCTTACTAACATTAGTGGCATCAGTAGTGAAAAAGAAAAGAGTTGAAACACTGTTTAAAAAATGTATGTTTAATTACATACTTATGTCTTCGTTCCATATATTACGATGTTCTTGAAAGATTCGGGGGGAAGGGCATTCACTATTTTTTTTTAGATTTATTTAGTCAAAAAAAAAAAGTAAAAACTGTATGTAACGTATGGGGGAGAGGATCATCTGCGCACGTTTTCTTGAGTTTCAGAATTACTTCCCGTCATTTTAACTATAAATAGTTGAAAAATGAGTTAAAGTTTAAAATAAATAAATAAAAATAAATTTAAAAAAGGCGCGAAATTAGCAATATTTGAATAAATAAACATTTTCGTTTCTCAGTTATACAAAACTTATTTACATCGGTAAACGAATTGCAAGATTTTTCTGCATTGCTAACAAAATAGTAACTCACCCTTACCTCTACTCTTACCATTACAAGCAAAAGAAGAGTTCAACAAAACGTGCGCATAGTGAAGCTACATTTACGCCCAGAAGCAAAACAAGGGGCTATCTAAGCATTTTCTCAATGGATCAGGGAAATTGGACAAAAACCTGATCGAGATGGGTCCTCTTCACTTCCTCTCAGTATACCAAAACGCGTCGAATGACACCTCGCTGAACCCAAACGGTGAACCGGAACCCTTAGTGTTAAATATATTCAATCTTATGAAACATGTCCTAAATATTCACGTTATGCCAGAAAGGCATAATACTAATTCACAGCCTTTCGGCAATGTACGTGCCCCCAAAACCATGCTTTTTCTAGAATTCTCTAACAATATTCTTGAAATATCTGCCCCCAAAAGCATGTTTTTTCTAGAATTCTCTAAGAATATTCTTGAAGTATCTAGCTAAAAAAGTGTCCATCGATTCGGCTTCTCAAGAAGAACCAAACCCCTGCAGATGCCTTAAACGTCCTCACAATTCGTTTTGGATCCTACCCTCCCAAAAATGGGATTTCGTTCCATCTATTGAAGGATGCGGGGACAATAGTCATTCACTTCCTCTCAGTACGCCAAACGCGTCGACCCAAACGGTGGACCGGAAGAGATCTAACCTTGAGCGAAGGACGCACGGGCACAGACACGTAGTCGGCGACTACATGTAGTACATTTACAGCGCTTACATCATCTTTATTTTTTAATCCAAAATTACTACACATTTCCGTTAAAATAATATATATTTCGGTGGAATAAAACATTCTTCACAAAAGTCGAATTTAGCATTTCTTGGGCTCATAGGTTAAATTGTTCCCCATCCCCATCTCAGTATCTCAAATCGTTGGAAATGATAGAAAGTGAATGAGTACACAATAAAAAAAATCACGTCTCTACTTCTTTCTCTTGTTTGCAACTAAACTATCAAATGCTTCATCTTACTTTAGGCACTAATTTTGGCAAAATATTTGATTCTTGATTCAGACTTGACAGTATATTTACAGAGTTGCGTTATGTGCACATTATTTTTCAGGAAAGGAGTCAGATTTTCAGAAAAAGCTTTCAAAAGATTTCAATGTTGGCTATGACTACGACAGCATAATGCATTACAGTGCTTATGCAAATTCTAAAAATAAGAAGCCTACAATTCTTCCCAAGGTAAGTAAAAATGTTATAAATATGACTTTATAATTAGTTTTCTTTCTCTTAATCATTATTGCATTATTTTTAAACCAGAATAATAAAGCCAGCATTGGACAAAGAATAAAATTAAGTAAGAAAGATATTATGAAACTTTCAACCATGTACCGCTGTAAAAAAGTAAATGGCAAGTGGAAATTCTACTAGAGATCATCCTGTGAATATTGTTACATTCCAAATGTAAATTGTAATTTAATATAACACTCAAAACACACCGGAAAGTAGAGTAATTCGTTTTTTAAATATGTTCACAAAGAGTCTTGTAAATTAAATTGAAATAAAAAATAATAGTAAAAATGCTTCCATTCAATTTTATTAACAAAATTTGAACTTGACATCACTATATTTTCATGTCCAAATTCTAAATGATAGAAACATTACTTGATAGAATGGTGTTAATCGTATTTAGACATGCAATGATCATTTACCAAGTGAACTGCTGGCAACTAACACTAATCGCTTCAAAAAACATATTCTCTAGGATTAGCTATCCCATCTGACTGTCTGCCCGCCCGGCTAGCCTGCAATCCTTACTACCTAGACACTTTGCACTTAAGAAAAGCCAAAGAAAAAAATATTTCACCTCACCAGAGAGGTTGAAATTTTAAAAAAAATCATTTAGCAAGGTTTACATACGTCGTACTAGGGACCTGTTGTACGTCGTAGAATTTTTAAAATTTCACGTTTATAGCTTCATTTGGCCAGATTGCAGTAGTTTCTTCAGATTTTGGTGTTAATACGTGAGATCGTTTTGGAGGCGACCCTGATGTGGAAAAGTGTTATTTTTCCCTTCAAAAAATCCATCCGTCAATGAACAACGTGGAGGCTAAACTCTACGCATGATTTTCCCGAAAATTGATATTTTCCGACAGATCGAACCGAACTTGAGGTTCTGCGAATTTGACACGGATTGTGCATCATAACGAGGACGATATTTACGAGAAGGACCTAGAACATTTTCAAAATGCTCTCAAAATAGCTTAAAATTGTTTCTTTATTGTTTGCTCAAACAGAGTGAATTGCCCTAATAAATATGATTATCCCATATGGGATTTTCATTAAAATCTCTAAAATTGAAAAAATAGAAAATTTCAAAAGTTGTTCTTCCTTTCCCTTTCAAACGTGTCCTATGCGTTTAATAATAAATCTTCTTTTCATCTCATTCGGAGAAGGTGCAATCCAGCGTCGGCCTTCATCAATACACAAGGTAGAGATTTCTTTCTTAGCACAAACTATTCTTTAATATTAATCTTTAAATTATTTGATGTTCCATTTTTCACAAAAGTGGTTTTAGAGTAAATTTTGAGTCTAATCGTGATAACTTCCCAAAAATTCCTAAACAATATTTTTTTCAAAAACGGCTCAATTTTTTTCTTTTTTGTGGAGATCACAAAACGCAGAATTTATTGGCGGAAAAGCCATTTTCTTTAAAAAGTCTAAATTTCCAAAAATTAAAGTTAAGTCTACCTCGGGCAAAAATATTGAGTTGGGAACACTGGCAGAAGTCTTTTGGGTCAACGAGGCGATCCCAAGTGAAGTAACCTTCAAATGGCGAAAACATTATGTAACTTCACTATGAGCACGTTTTGTCGATCTCTCCCTTTTGCTTGTAATAGTAGGAGTAGAGGTGAGTGTGAGTAACTATTTTATTAGCTAAACAGAAAAATCAAATCTGGAATTCGTTTACAATGCAATAATATTACAATTACAATATTAAAATGCAATAATATGCAAATAAGTTTTCTATAACTCGGGAACGAAAATGTCTAATTTTTCAAATGTTAATGTCGCACTTTTTTAATATTATTTATTTTGTTTGTTTTTTAACTTTGAATCATCTTTCAACTATTTATGGTTAAAATGTTGAAAAGGGATTCTGGAACCCAAAGAAAACGTGATTAGATGATCTTCTACCCCATACGTCAATACAGTTTTACTAATTTTTTGACTAAATAAATCAAATGCGAACAAATTTTGCAAGCGTTCAGGTAATGTGGAAGAGCACATCCTTTAAATCAGTTCTGTTTCAGTATATTAATATTCCAATAGATTAACTGTAAGAAAAATATGATTCAATAACAGCTGTACGAAAAATATTGATCAATAGAGTATTCTATCTGTATTACTAATCGTGAATACATGCATTCACAGACGGATTTGCTGTTTCGGTGGTATAATGGTTAGCGTATTGGGCTGTTGAACTCAAGTTTGGGAGTTGAAACCACATCGAAGCCGTTGATCTTTAAGAGGCGAAAATCCTTCCTACGTCTTCCTTTGAGAGGGAAATAAAGCCGATTGTGCCATGTTGTAGATTTACTGCTTATAAAAGATCCTAAAGCCCAAAAGCCTCTGAGCTAAATTTAAAATCACTAGTTTTGGCGCCCGAGTGATATTTTCTTTCCAAAATTTGCGTGGTCATGCGGAAAAGCAGGCCCGATGGCCCGAGTCTCACCACTTCAAATAAGGCATCATTGAATTGAATTGAACTGAAAAACTAAACAGCCTCTTGTCATGTGAGAGGTGACAATGGTTTCGTTACTCAGGAAGACTGGAAAAATACAAAAGCGATAAAATAGATTTGATTTTGTCAGAAAATTGAAAATATTTGATTATTCTTATTTTCTCATTACTGATTTTATGTCTATATTATTATATCCAGCGTTACTGCTTACTTCACACGATGCTGCCATGCGATCAGGAGGAAAGAAGTTCAGTATTCACGTGTGCCCTTTCAAGAGTGCCAAATTTAATGCTCCAGGACCCCACTTTCCACACACTCATCATCGTCCTGTCAAAAGAGATCCAGACCAAGAAAAAGACCCGGACGTTTTTTTCTTATCGGTTCTAAATGTTTTTGGAGAGTACTAAATTCGAATTTTATGTCTGCCACCTCGAAAAATGTAAGCTTCATAGAGAAAATAGAATAAAAAACAACTAAAAATGGCGCAATTTTTTGTTGCTCTTTTCTCAGTCAATCCAACAGTTTTCGAGGAAGCAAACATAAAATTCCAATTCGACATTTCCAAAAACATAGAACCAGTAAGAAATAACTTTCTGATATTTTTTTCCAGGATCAGGGCATTTGAACGACAGTTGAGTGGACTAACAGCAGCAATTTTGCTGCTGTAGGCCACCAGTACCAACTAGTTTAAGTATAGTAATTACACCCGAGCCATGTTGACAGAATTATTTATAGTGCAACCTGGACTAAACGCCAGGCCCATGTTTAGCAAAACGACGAAACTTCTATGGGGCTGATGGTTTCCCAGTGATGAAATGAGAGGAACAGTAGTGAAATGTTTTAATGAACTTTGCGTCCCTTTCTATCGTGAGGCCATGAAAACCTGTAACTACGACTAATAAGTGATAATATCAGAAAAGTGTTACAATAAAGTCATGTTTTTTTTCGAACTTCGTCAATATTTATCTGCTCATCTACAATCTACTGGTGCTAGAAACAGAACTGCTGAGAGAACATTCGGGCCCCGGAACAAAGGTTCTTACAAAAACTTCTGGACAACTATACGTGTTGATTAATTGAACAGTGATTCCTGGTGCGTCAACTGCTTAAGTCATTAAGCCGGTAAATGTGGTGCATGTTTTTATCGTGGGAGGTAGTGGACCGCTAGATTGAGAGATCTGACGTTGACCTCCACATCGTCGGCTCGGATGGGGGAGGGGGGGGGGGGCTCAATCAGGCATCTCGCACCAGCGGGGCAGCACCACAACCGGGGCACGCTCTAGGCCCTCGACTGATCTTCCAATAAGTGTGGTAGTGTAGTGTACGTGTACGTGTGTAAGTAAAGGTGTGAGGATAAGACAAGAAAGGAGGGTTGCGCGCGGTCCGTTTGTCAGGGTGCTGCTTCAGAGTTCGCTTGGTGATTCTCGAAACCACGGAAAACTACCGATCAGAGCAGCTGGTCGCAACAATTTTCTTCCGAGCAGCGGCTGAACTCGGTATTGCTACCTAGATAGCGTCGAAAACCCTGCTACCATCGGAACTCGAACCCTAGGACTTCCCGATCAGAGGCAAGGCAATGACATCATTTGATATCCTGAGCCACCTAAACCAGTATGCATAAGGGTATATTATTGTTTCTTACAATACATTATATTGGTTAATTTATATAAGACTTACTATTTTTCTTCTGCACTCGACTGTTCACGACGGCTTTTTGTCCGCTTTCCCGTATTCACACAAAACGTGATGTAATATAGCGCACCAGGAAATTCTCTCCGCAGTGGCACCTTGCTGGTGATAGTACTTGCAACTGAAATTGTGTTGATAGCACACGAATTTGTAACAGAAGAAACGTTGAGTATTCATCTCAATCATAACAGATGCCGGAGGTGTTGTCGCCTTCATTTTTTTTCCAGTGTCTAGTTCACTGCCAACATAAATGTAATTTTTAATAGCAGGTCCTGATTCCGCTCGGTGCGGAGAGATTTTCCTGGCGCACTCTGGTATAATGCCAGTGCAGCTCATTACGTTTCGTAATTTTATTACAATTTTAACATATATTTAATTCTTTTAATTTTTATCGTATCTTGTCTATTTCAATTTTGAAAGTTAATATGTTTTCAGAATTACAAGCGACGCGCAATTCACAACGGGTATATATTTTTTATTTTTTTTATTTTTTATATATATGATAATACTACTCACTGTGAACAGCTAGTCAACACTTCAGTTAAATGTTGTTTAACAAAATTTGTTGCCGTGGTAACAATGCTCTAAGGTTCCCAGGACCTTTTCAGCTTTAAATACGAATACTGTTGCTTCCACACCCATAAACATTTTCTAAAAATGTACAGAAAATGTAAAACATTTTAATTAATACTATAATTTATTTTTTGTTACTGATATTTTAAATTCTGAATTTGATAAAATCATTTACATTTTAAAAATATAGTAAGGGCTTCAAATAAAGTATTGACAAAAACTTAAAATTCATTTCAAATTCACTGAGACTCAAGTTGAGCCAGATAGATCGGATAATATTAATTTGTGAAAGGGCAAACAATTCCTTCATTCGGTTTAAGCAGTATTGATGTTCATGGATGGATCAACAGAATGACCGGCATTCAGATAAACACAGACTGACAGATACATTAAGAAAAAAATATTTTTTCAGTGTTCAGAACTATTTTTGTCAAAATCTCAATGATAAATGTTAAGGTGATCAGACTCAGAAAAAAATTCAAATATATTTACTCTTAAAGGAAACGATATGAAAAAAATTCAGAAATACAGGCAAAGTATCTTTGAAGTAGGCTAGGACACAACATACTAAACAAAAAATCAAACCTTTTCAGGGTCAGGATGTAGAAGACATCAACTCCTCTCCTTCACTAATATTTTTGAAATAATACTTTTTTTAATATTATCTTAAAATAAAAAACAAATATGTATAATGAGAAGAGGCTTATGCCTTTGGATGTGGTATGCTCAATACATGGTAATTATTTTGAATGATTTGAACAAAATTGCCTTAAAAATGTTGCTACCCCCTCTTGGGTCCGTCACTGTCTTTCCACTAAATTCCTGAGTTTCTGATTCCATTACGTTTTTTGAAGCCACAATGGTACAAAAGCACAGTATTGTGTATTTTTTGCATATTTATTACATTAACACAAAATAAAAATCATAGGCATGCCATCCTACAGAATTACAAATTACTTGAAATTATTTAAAATTAAAAAAGGTACTATAATTTTTAAGACAGAAATGTAAAGTAAGTAAGTTCACTGATTCATCAAAAATCATAATACAACACAATCCCTTGAATCTAATAAAAACTAGGCCAGTACAAATTGTGAAGTGAATGCTATAAAAAATACTATTATACTAAAAAAGAACACTATAACTTACCTTCTGTACAGACTTAAGACGTTTAAAGCTCTAGATGAAGCAATCACCCATTTAACTGGTTTCTTAAAAAGCAGCCTATAGAAGAAAGAATTTACTTCATTAAAATTATTCTTCTCACTGCAACTTATATTTGAAATCAAAATATATCACAGAAAACTAATCACATTTGGCTCATTACATGACACAAACATAAACACTTACACCTAAAGATATAAGGCAATATTAGGCTAAGAATAATTGTCTTGAGTTGTAAAAGTAACAGAACTGGTCGTTTGACTTACACAACTCTGACGAGAATGTTTAAGACTGTGTCCACAGAAAGAAAAAACAGACACAATACTAGAATGTAATTTAGATACAGCTCTGTAATCTAGTTCACTTTCTCTCTAACCCAGAAAGTGAAACCAGCAATTATTTTTCAAGTCAGTATGAAATAATCAGACACTGATAGTGAAACAAAATGACCTAAAAATGTTATTTCATATTCTGACCAGGTTGAATATTGGGGCAAGTAACTTGTTTTGCTTACAATGAAAGACCACAGCAGTTAAAAATGCAGGGTATCACTTTTAGAGAGTATTATCATTGTATAAAAAGACGTGTCTTATTTAGAACTCCTGCAATGCCTATGCAAGCATTACATAGTTCACATTTTCATGGATAACTGAAGATATTACACACATAATTCTTGAAGGAGCCACAGACCATACTTTACTTACTCAGCAGGACGAATTTATATTTGAGAGAAAGCAATATTATTTACAATGAAATTCTTTGGACTCTACTATCTTACATACCTTTTGATACTTCAAATGCTAGTCTTTACAATGGGTCGTAAGAGACAAGTTCCTCCTGAACCTACATATAAAGGACACTTTCAAGATGAAGGAAAACCAAATGAAGTAGGTGAGTGATTAATTCAATTATTATATGTTAATTTAAAGTTATTTAATATTTTTGGGATGTACAACACAATTTTCTAATTTCTAAAATCAATCTAATATTAATTTATAAATTGAAAAGTCAATAGTATGCAAGATGTGTATGAAACATTTCAATAATTTTTTTCTTCATTAATTAAAAGAATCATAAATAACTTTTTAATAATTAATATTAATGTAAAGGATGTAATTCTAAAAGAAGCATATCTTTTGGTGTTTTTCAAAAATAAATCAACAAACCTGTGGTACTTAAAAAAAAAGATCACAAAATATTATAGTTTGACACAAATAAAAATAAAAATATATCCATTTAATTTAATCAAATTAATTATCCTCTCTATTTTAGCTGACCAAGTTGCTCATTGGAGCCCCGAAGACAAATTAAATGTTTGGGAAATGAGTGGTCTTTTTGAAGGTGATATCATGATGCCAGACAACACTGACTTTCGCAACGTAGTCCTTGATGGGAACAAATATTGGCCAGAAGCAACAGTTCCATATTACATTGAAAAGGAAGATTTCAGTGAGTTTTCTTTAATGATGTATTATAAACAGTGGTAATAACTAATTTTCCCTGAAATGAAAGGAAGTATATAAAAATATCCCTTATTTCATCCGACAAATATGAAGAGAGAATTAGGAATTTCTTTAGGTAGGAAATTAAAACACGCCATCTGGAAAAATAACAAATGATGAGCAATCTGTTGAAAGTGAATAATCCACCTCATTAAAGGTGTACTGGAATATAATGTATAGTTTCGGGAAAACAAATACAGTGTAGAGTTGATAGCCCGTATTAAAAATACATATTATCATGAGCGGCTCTGGCAGGTTAGATTGCAGGGAAAATGACACTGCTCCTCCTCCCAACATATTTTTAAGTGCATGTAGAGGTTTAAACATACTTTTTTATTTTTGCATAAATTAAGTATCAATATTATTTAATGGTACATGAATCGCTTAAGCTTAAAGAACAACTGTTACCTTCATTTAAAACTTCCGTTCTCTACCCCACCCCCCTTCATTTTACGTTTCACGGACACTCGAAATATTTAATGTGCTTGACCTTATGTGATTTGGAGATCCAATTCGTTGAGAGAGAAATTCTCGAAAATGTGACTTTCATAGGTAAAATTTCAATACGATGGAATACCAACTGAACTGACAAAAATAGTCACTGAAGACGTGGAAAAGTTACGTTATATTAAGTTAGTGAAAGTTGTATTGTGAGATGACCCAGTACTATTAATACTAAATAAAACTACCATAGGCAACGGTAATTACATAGGCAACGACAAAATTAATCCGCGCCGAAGCAAAGAGGATTGAGAGTTGTACGAAATTAAATTTAGCAAATTGTGCAACATGTGGGCAATATACTGCGCTGCGGACAGAATGTTTTTTTTAAAAAACAGCGTAGAACGATTCTTTTTATCTGCAGAACATAATATTCGTTCGGAAAGTTCAATCTGTTTTCGACCGAGCAAGAAGTAGAAACTGATACTCTTCATTAAAGGCAACAGATAGAAATGTGTCAAAACAAACTGGCTATATAATGTACAGAATAATATAATATATTTTAAGATAGAATTTATAGTATATTCTAGTTCATTGGTCAAAAGAAATTATTGTCGGTCCCGGTCGGATTCTCCGGTCGGTGAATTGTCAGAAATTTTGCTTTTTAACAATTAGTTCCCTTTGTAGCAGTTCATTTCAGGATAAGATAATTAGAGTAGAAATTGAACAAGTGTTTTATTGAATATGTTCTATTTTGTCAAGAGTTGAAAAAAATCAAAATTCCTAATGTCTAAAGAAATATTTCCCTAAATGCACCACTTAAGGGGATGAAAACAAATTTGGGGGTTAATCTTCTAACTTGATACTTAGCAGCTTGCAATATGTAATAAAAATATGATTTCTTTAATCATTAATTCCCTTGCTGTTTGCAACATACAAAGATGCTAAAGAAGTACTAAAATTAATTGACTAACTGAAATCACATTTTCATTATTTTTTTAACTGGAACTGTAAATTACTTTAGGATATACAATATTACATTCAATCTTATTAAAAAAATTCTTAAAATTTTATTAAGAATGCCAATTTAATAACTTTTTGTGTAATTTAAGTAGTTGGGTATGTCTTAGCAAAAGTACATTTTCATTTAGAGAAAATTGATGAATGCAAGATCTGGGGAGCATGTGAGCATCCTGTAAATATAGAAGAAATGTTTAAATACAAAATCTCTCTTCCATTATCTATGACACAATTTTTTAAAATAAAAAACAACTATTTATTATATTACTATATTATGATCTTTAGATGGTTGTACAAATTGAGAAAATGTATTTTAAAAAGAAAACAAAGCCTTTCCATTTTTTGGATTAATGTGTGAGAGGAAGTCGATTTTTACTCACATTTGTTTGGCAGCTATGCTAACAAAGTAAAAAAAGAATGAGTCAATTATCAAAAAGTATCAACACTAATATTCATTCTATAAATAATAGGCTAAGAGCAAATGACAGTTTTTTACAGTTGACAAGAAATCATTGACACAAAACAATGCAAGTCTGTACTGCAGCTGGATAGGGAACTGTGCTGGTTAGACAAACATCAAATAGATTGCAAAATTAGAAGTTTGCAGATTGACATAGGGAACAGATTACTTCAGTATACTTTACAATTGCAAGTAACTCAGAAACAAACAGGCCCATAAAATCAGTTTTTTTTGCCTCTAAAGCAAGAATTCCCAACCACTGTCTTTCATCGACCCTTTAATAGAATGTTTGCTTGATTAATACCCTTATGCTTTCTTTAAAATATGCAGCATCCATTATCATGACAGAAAGAATTGCACATAAATGCTTTATAGAAAACAATTTCATACCCCAGTATTCTTGTAAATATCTCGATTTTCCAATTATTGAAGATGTTTCTGTTTTTGAGTAGCTGAGTTTCTAATCTTTACTGAAACGCAATGGTTGCAATATGTTGAATTTTTTTTTAATAACTGGCCATAATGTTTCTCCAGTGCATATTGCAGAGAGTACTTTCTTGAGCAATAGACTACCGTATTCAATGTATAGTTTATAATTTTTTGAGTTTTTAAACATCCTTAGTCCTAAGGATATGAAAGAAGAGCAAATCTGTAATATATTATTGTACGTTTTTCTTTACAGCAAGAAACCGTTAATTAAGTTATTAATAATTTTTTGTAATGAATGGAATCTTGATTTTCCTAGTTCACATTCGGCTATTGACCCTCAATCAATCCCTTGATCATTAATGAACCCCTACAAAATTTCATTGACCCCCAGGGGGTGTATACAGACCCTGGTGGGAACCCCTGCTCTAAAGGATCTTGAGTTTTTGGAGGGCACTTGAAGAAATTATAGGGCTAGGTGGGGGACAGGTGGTGACTGAGTTATGTTTCTTAAGTGTTATTCTACAAAACAAGATCTTTTTGAACCTTCTGTTACATGTTAGGAGATTTAATTTTTTCTGGAGATTCTACTTCATAGTTCGAGTGGTAAGATACGCTGTAACTCAAAATTTATTTAGAATTAAATCAAAGGAATAGAGGCAGAAATAAAATTCAATGATAAAAGTTAACATAACTGTTTGATTTTCTGTGAAATTTAAACTCAGTACTTAGAGAGAATGTTTACATACTTACTTGTAGCACAGGGCATTAAAAGCCGATCAGAGGTTGGCAAAATGTTTGCAAGGATCCAGCTAGTCTAAAATAATTGCTTAATTTTTAAAACTTAAATAACATCCAGATAAATGAAAGAAACAGAGACAAGTGATTTATGTTATAATTATAAAATTATGTATCATATTGTCATTGTTATGTTTACATCACTAACATTACATGTTCTCAATCAATTCTACCCAAATTAATTTTAAAATTATCATGCACGTAAACAAATTGATTTACAAATTTTCTTTTGAAAACTAGTATAAAGTATCAAATTTAAAATATCAAAAGGGTTAATATAAAAAGTTAGATTTAAAATATCTATTAGATTTATTGAGTGATTATTTATATATTTATAACTGTATTTATCTAGCTTCTGATGAGTTGGAAACAATCAAGGAGGCTATAGATGAGTATCATGAGAACACTTGTATTAAGTTTCGCCCATATAAAAAAGGAGATTCAGACTATATAGTAGTCAGAGGAAACAGCAGTGGTTGTTGGTCTTATGTAGGACGCTATGGAGGAGGCCAAGTTGTAAATTTACAAACTCCTGGATGTGTTCATCGTGGAATTGTTGCTCATGAATTATTACATGCACTTGGCTTTTACCACCAGCAAAGTGCCTACAATAGAGATGATTATATCAAAATTCACTATGAAAATATTAAAACTGGTGAGTATATTTCGAGGTCATTAAGTTATTATAAAACAAACTAGGTCCAGCTTTTCTTTTTTTAATATTGTAATTTCACAGGAAGAGAACATAATTTTAAAAAATACAATGCAACTACTGTAACAGATTTTGATATTGGATATGATTATGAAAGCATAATGCATTATAGTGCATATGCTTTTTCTAAAAATGGAGAGCCAACAATTGAACCACTTGTAAGTTCTGGATGATACCTTCTTCACATTAATAAACTAATATCCCAATCTAACAAAATTATCTTGACATTTCCATAGGATAAAATGGCAAAAATTGGACAAAGGAAAGGACTTAGCAAGAAAGATATAAAGAAGCTTGAAACTCTATACCATTGCAAATCATATGATGATTACTGGGACTATGAATAGAAAACAAAAAGGATATGGTAAAAAAACATCATCAATTTTTCAAAGATAATCTCAATGAACTAGTTTGCGAGGTAAAACTGACACTGGAATGATAGGCAAAATACAAAAATATTTGAAATTGTATTTCAGTCTTTTTGATACAAAAAACAGAGTAATAAATAAATAAATAATTATATATTCATATATGTAACATCTGTACAATAATAATTAATAGTTGTATTTGAAACTTTGTACAAATAAATTAATATGCCTTATGTACTAGTGACAAAACAATTATTGAAATATCATGAATCACAACCATAAAATGGAAATTGCTTCAAAGTTCCTACTGCCTGTTGAGCTGCCTGAAAAAAGAGAAAATGTATATTGCAACATTCACTTATGAAAAATGTACATGTTACTTTCTGCAAAACGTATTACTCATTCCAAACAAAAAAATCTTATGTAAACCAAGTTAACTTCTATAATTCAATAATAAGTTTTTCACATATTTAAAATTAAAGCTGTAATTCTAATTTTCCTACAGAAAATGTACTGAACACAATAAGGTTTGCCAAAAAATGTTGGGGTAAATAAACTTCTATAATTTTCTAGGAAGTTTTAAATTAATTATGACTTTACTGAAAAACTACTTTAAATGCAGAGTAGGAGAAAATAATTGAGTCTTAACACTAACACAAATTTCAAAATTAATAACAAATTATCATAGTGGTCATTAAGATCGTAATGAATATGTCTTAAAAAAATCATTGATACGAGTAATAAAAATAAAAGGACAAAGAATGGAAGAAAAATAACAATAAAAGAAAAGCCTGGTAAACTAACCTCACGCACTGAGTCATTTGAATCAAACATCAATGTTTCTAAATTTTCTCTCATTCTGCGACTCCAGCTTTGATCCAGACTGCTACAACATCGATAGCCTAACAACTGCAACAATCGGCAAACTCGTGATCGTACTGTTGGGTTGTTGTGAGTCAACATTACTGGCACATCAACAGCAGTATTTCCTGCGAATTGAACAATTTTCACTATGTCAGTCCCTAATTACAAATTATTTTCTTGTTTATTTATTAATTTTGTGATACCAAATATATTATTATTCGTTGTAGATATCAGGACCATGATAAGGGATATCATTCAAAGGTATAGGTCAGAGTTTAAACAATTAGTTTGCTGCCATTTCGAAATCTTTTAATTCCATCATTCGGGCTAGTGTACAAAAGACAACAATGCACGAAGACATCAATATGAAAATACAATATATAGTACATTTTTATATCATGTTTTTGCATACCATGCTATTGTGTATTGTATATTCATATTATGTTGCCTTGTTGCTTTTTGTATATTAGTCCTGATGATGGAATTAAAAGATTCCGAAACAGTAGCAAATTAATTGTTAAATTGTTTATACTCTGACCAATCCCGTGAACTATATCCCTTATTTTATTATCATAAAAGTGCACAACACAGACACAAAACAGTGAAACCTGCTTAAAATACCACCTCTATAAAGTTGTGACCTCTATTTATTTATGGATCAATTTTTTTTCTCCATTAGACAGGACTAAATATTCCCTCATTACAGCAGCCACCTTTGTAAGTGGCCAGACATTTTTCATCAATTGATTTTTATTAAGCAGACATCTCAAGTGGTTTTGAACTACATTATAATAAGAAATGAAAATGTGTTGGAGATTACTGTTGATTTAATACCTTGCTACGATCAGGGGCCTTGAAACATTACTTCAAATGATATCCGGTGTCTCATACCACACAGAAGGATTGCTTCCTGTGTCAGGTAACAACAGGTGATTTTAATAAATGTATCTAATTGAAATAATGGGGGAATTTATTAAGGACTAGCAGAGCACACCACGTGCATGAATCAGATTTAAAGGTCATTTCCTAACTCCATCAGACTGACCTGCTGTAATGTTTCTACAATATATGAATTTAATCTTTAAGACTAGTTCGCTCCTTCCATTGGTAAGGAGGAAAAGTAAGTTTCTCAAGTAAGAGAATGAGTGTCAAGTCAAGGGTGAACGTTTTTCACATTACACAAAAAGGAAGCAAATGATCCTAAACACTTAAATTGTATTATGTCATTTATTGTAATTTAAAATGTTCAAGAGAACATACTTCATTTTGTAGCAATTAGCAGAATTAGATTTGATTTACACTTTTAGTAATCTAATAACCTCTATTAATTGCCCATTTTTGCCAGAACTGTTGGTGACTAGTTAAGTCAGGTTTCACTGTACTTGCTGACAAAACACTTTCATTATTGGAAGGAAAAGGATTCTACAACTTAATATCTGCATTAAATCTGAAACCCATGTACCTGGCATATTCTTTCCGAGAACAATCTGCTCCACTATATAACCATTTTCTGGTAATACCATAAGAATGCGGCAGAGGATTGCCAATATGTCTGTAACTATTCTTACTTTTCTTCGAGACAATAAGAAAAACTGTTGTACAAGAAAGGGAACATTAAAGATAATAATGGCATCACAAAACTGAGCTACAAATTCCTCTTGTGATTGCAGCAAATTGCAAAGCAAAAGATAAACTGATTCCAGTGCTTGCAACTCATCTGCACTTAAATCTGCCATTGGCCTAATTGGAGTATTAAGCATTTCTCCTCCTGAAGTCAATGATGTGGGCTTTGTTTGAGCCAAAATTTTTGATGCATATACAAGATTAGGGACTATTTTCACTTCTAAATACACTTGCATTAACATTTCTGTTTCATCTTCTGTAATGCTTTCTACTACCAGAGGAAGAGATAGTAGGCAAGCTATATACTCCACTACACGGCAGTTTGCATACGGGTTCCTTAGAGGTGCCACCACCATCCCAATAAAGCTCTGCTGTAGCATACACTCCACATCACCTTCCATCACCTGCAATGTGATCTCAACTAAATTAGTTTTGTAAAGGACATTAAAAAAAGCAAATATTAAAACCATTTAAAAGATTGTTGATTTGAAACAAAGTGACAAGGATAGAAATAAATGAAGACTAAAAGGAAGAATGTATTGCAGAAAACCTTCATCATGTTTTATTGTGTATTATTAACTATTAAAATGGAGAAACTTTGTAAAAATTAACAGTTTTGGATTACGGCATCTAAAATCAAATAAAACATGCTGCAAAGGATATAAATCCTCTATCTGAATACCAGAAAATGTACAGCAAGTAAAAATGAAAATTTAAATATTAATATATGCAATAGGTAGATTTTTGATTCTTCACAATAAGGACCAATGAAACACCAATGGCACCATACTTCTTCAAATAACAAAGTCTACATTATTATTTCTTGGAATAATTAAGGTTTTCCTGTCTATTAACTTAGAAGAGAAACTAGTGGTGCTACACAATGGTACAGACTCCCTCATACTAGTTACTTTTCTATTGTCTTTAATTTGGACTAACTCTTTGGTTTGCCTCACCCAGCTACCATCTATGGTCGTCCAAAGGTCATTTTTTAACATTTTCCCAATATTTTGATCTCCTAATTGAATAATTATAATTGTAAGATTATTACAGGAGAGTAAAACCTGGTCCTATATGTACATTGCTGTTGAAAAATTTGGACACTATTTTGAGAAAATTTGATTTGACCTTCCCTGAAAATGCAAAATTTGAAGATCATTTACATGAAAAACTTTCAAGTTTTTGAGAATCTTCATTGGAAATAATTTATGCACTTCTACTAACAAAGGCAATAAGGTATCTGTAATAAACTAACGATGAGGAATACTACTTCAAAAAAAAATTACATTTGTGTTATTTAAAAACAACAATAAAACAATATGTCACATACACTGAATAACATAGCCCTTATGTCATGTTATTCAGTGCATTTAGCACTATCCGTACAAAAAATTTAAAGAAGAATTTGGAGCCGTTTTCAATATTTAGTAAAATTAACTTTTGTATTTATTTATGAATAATTTTTATTGTTTTTTGCAAAACATGGCAGATATTTGTCAAAAATTGCCATATAATTGCACATTTTGAATGTAAATTATTTTATCAATTATTTAAATTTTACTTTTGAAATGATGTTACTTGAAATTGTACCTGTTAATTTGGCATTTGAGAGTTTCTGAAAACATGGAATTTCGAGCTCATTTTTAAAGAAAACTTTTCAATTTTTGAAAATCTTTATGAGGCATCATTTTAAGCACTGGTACACACTAATGCCATATTGTATTCAAGTCACTGGTCATGTAAATACTAAGAACATGAAAGAGATACAAACAAATTACATTTGTGTAATTAAAAAACAACAACAAACAAACAAAAGAATACAGCAAAATGGCATTTATGTCCCTAATAAAAGTTAAAAGAAAAAAATTGAAGCCCCTGTAGTCTCACGCAATGAAATATTTAATTTCTGTAAATGTGTAAAATCTTTGATAAAAAATGTTGTATGGAACAAGTGGATATATTTTACAATTTACAGCGATGACAACACATGGAAGCATTGATCTATTTGTGTATTGTTATCATATTTATGTTTTAGTGTTATTGTCTTATTGACTATGGTTTAAAAAATTGAAAAATTTGGACATGTTTCTTAGATGTAAAAGCCAACACTTGTATGGCAGTCAATACCTTGGCTTTTATATAATTAGTAAAATCAACTTTTGTATTTATTTATGAATAATTTTTATTGTTTTTTGTATAACATTGTAGATATTTGCCAAAAATTGCCATATAATTACACATTTTGAATGTAAATTACTTTATCAATTATTTAAATTTTACTTTTGGAATTATGTTACTTGAAATTGTACCTGTTAATTTGTAATTTGCAAGGACATAACCAATGAGTTAATTTCAATTCTCCCAAAAATAAAGAACTTGGTACATTGAACACATTTTGACATATCATTTTTTATTTTTTATGAAATCACATTAAATATATTACACAAAAAATGTGGCATAAAATATGTGAAAAATTCTTAAACTTTCCAAAAACAGAGAAAAAAAAATTAGAAATTGTACAAAGTGTGCCTACTTTGTATTGGATAAATTTGGGGCAAAACGTTAAAAAGCATTTGCATCTATCTTTGAAAGATGACCAATTTAGAATCAAACTCCACAGACATTCTTAAATATGTACCAAAAATTCCTAAAACAGTAAAAAACAGCTAAAAATGTCAATAAAATGTATGAAATGTATGAACATTTTTTCTTTCTATAATGTTTACTTACCTCTTCCATGTTATGTTGCAAGAAAGCCACCCATTCATCATTTTCTATTGGCTGAGGAGTCTCCATGGACTCCCAGCAACGCAAGGTGAAAATGTCTTTACTGTGTGGCACACCTTTGACAGCATCTCTTCTCAATACTTGACCAGCTTCTACTTCAATATCAGGAAACTCCTGACTGTAGTCTACACTCACACGACTCCTTATCAGCATGCTAGATTCTTGGGATGAAACTTCCACAGCATTTTTGTTTTGAGCAGTATTCGGTGGTACCTATGGGTTTATTTCAAAACCCAAACAAAATTCAAAAGACACACAGAATATCAGAATAATCTCTGCCATGAAACATTTTTCTAACCAATAAGCTCCTTGGGCATCAGAAAATTAAAAATTAATTCGCTTCTGGTCTCCTGAATCCTTTTTCCCAGTGAAATTCCTTAACTCAACTAGCTCAACAAAACGCTCAAGAATGTTTATCAATTGAAACTAGTGGTGCTGCAGAATGGTAAAGACTTTCTCATACTAGTTAGTTTTCTTATATCTTTAGTTTGTGCTTTTTTTGGTTTTCCCCCACCCTTTCCCCATCTGCCATCTACTAGAGCCTAAAATACTTTATTTCACATTTTCTTAATTTTCCCCGGATCCCTAACAGTAGAATTGAAATATGACTATATGAATATTAGAGAAAGGGAAAAACTTGGTCATACATGGAAAAATTTGGACCTGTTTTGAAGAAAATGTTATTTGAGAGTATCTGCACAATTTGAAGTCATTTTCACCCAAACCTTTTGAATTTCTGAGAAAAGTCCTCAGTTATTATTTGAAGCATCTGTACTCACAAATACAAAAAGGTACAAAAAAGCCCACACAATAAATATTAACGATGTGAAAGATTCATTGTCACAGAAAAAACCCAAAATGTTTGAGTTTGAAGAAGCTTCATAATAAATCATTTAAAGCCCTCATAATCATAAATGCAATAATGTTTACATGTTGCGGGTAACGTAACTATGTATTAACAAGGAGAGGAATCATAAAAATTAATTTGTATAATTTTTGAAAAAAACAAAAGAATACAGCAAAATAGGGTTTGTGTCATTTTATACATAACATTTAGCACTATCCCTACAAAAACTCTGGTGCCATTTAATGAAAATCTTGAAAATGTTCCAGAGCATTTAAGTAATACTCCCAAAAACTTACAGAATTCTTTTCAAAACTGAAGGGTTTTGAGACGGGCCAGATAATCACAATATATTTATTTTGGAAAAAATCTCAAGAGGGTGTTAGTGCTATTAACAGATGGATGAATGTTTTGAAAAACCAGTGGTGCTACAACAGCTCACACTTTTTTGCACTATTTGTATCTTTTGCAATGTTTGAAAATCAGAGTTGAACAAAAATTGAACCTGCATTTTTTTTTTTAAGTATCTAGCAGTGGATGGAGAAAAACTGAAGATGATGATGATGAATAATGACAATGTTTTATAAACATTGTCAAATTTTAAAAAACATTACTCCTGTGACTAACATACTAATCTTAACAATTTATCCTTGAAATGTTTTTAAGAGCAATACATTTTTTATTCAAGAGAATCTAGTATCTAAGTACCACAAATCTAAAATTGAGATACCAGATGCTCTTGTATACTCTGAATACTCTTCAAAAACAAAATATACAAAATATTATAGATATCTAATATTAATTTCCCTAATGAGAGTAATACATTTTTTTTGTAATGTATTGTCAATCAGCCATTACAACATATATGCTTACGATCTTATAAAAGAGTGAAATGCCAATAGAACAGAGGATGCACCCCAACAAAAAACAAACAGATCACATAAACAATGTTCGCAGATCAAATAAAATTGTCAACCACAGAAAACAAACTTCAAATTGCAGCCTGTGAATTAAACAAAATAGAAAAGACTTCTTACATAAAAATCTCCAAAGAACAAAATCCTTCCAGGGGCAGGAGCAAAGATGAGGGAAGTCTGTCACTGGGAGACAAATAACAGGACAAGCAGCAACATTTCAATAATTGGGCAAGAACTTGTGAAAAAATTTACAAGAATGTAGCATAAAATTTTGAATCACAATAAACAATTAATCAAAAGACATTTTGGAAGACATGAATCCAAACTGAAAATCAACAATATGACACAAGTTAATGCTATCATATGGCTCAGAATCTGGATCCTGGAAATGTGGGATAGCCAGAGATTGGAAGTGACTCAAAGGAGGTTCCATAGACATCCCCTTGGTTATTCTACACTGAATTGACACACAATTTTTAAACTGTGTCAAAAACTTTTCAATAATTCGAATGGATTTAGTTTCTTAGTTTGTATCAACGACTCACATTTCTACAGTACTTTCAGTTTCAATACTAAAATGTATAGATTAGAGGAAATATTAATTATTGTGTCTGGGCTGATGGGCCATGAGGTTAGGGAAAAATATAAGGACTATTGTCTATTGTCATATCTTGATAGGAGACCCTGAACTTTTTGGTGACACTGTATATAGACAGAAAAAATAAACTAAACTTCTATATTCTTACCTGTCTCAAATAACCAGCATCACCCGCTGCTAAATTTAAACTATTTGTAATTTCACACAATTCTTCCACTCCCTGGTTCCTTCCATCACTCTTTTCATCATCTGACAAATCATGACATTTTACTAAACCATTCATGATAGGAGCATCTCCACAACCCAGGTCTCTACTGCTTGTTTCAAAGTCTCTGTCCGCAGCTGCAGTACTTCTACCATTTGCACTCATCGAACCACAAGGAGTGTTTAGAGATTCATGGCTGAAGTTGAAACTTTGCTGATGTTCTAACAAAAAAAAAATAATAGAATTAAAATTCAATTTACAATTAGAAAATTCTTTCAAAGAATACTGTCAATCTATCAAATGATGTTTTCAACCAAAAAAATAATTAGCTAAAATTGTTCATAATTCACTCAGATCGTTACAAATGTGGAACAGATAAATATATGTTGTAGAAGTTTAAGGATTTTAATTTGCAGAAAAAATTCTGCATTGTACATTGTACAGAATTACATGTTAACATACCTTCTTTTCTGTACAGTAAATCTAGGCCTACAACAAAATAAACTATTTACATTGAAGTAAGGTGATAAAAATACTGAACCTACAGTAAATCATACATTATATTATTTTTTTAAATGTTTTTTAATAAAATTAATAAGACATGATGCATTTAAAGAAATAAGTACATACATTCTTCTTTGATACAATTTTTTGTTTTTAATAAAATCCAGATTTCCAATGGTATGGATTTTTGATGTCTAAACTTGTATGCTGTACTGTTTTTGAAATATTGTTTTATTTTTTGACAATTATTTCTCAAAGAAATTAAGGATATTCACAAAAATGTCTTCTAATATAATATTTAGAAAGCTTTAAACAACAATTTTTAATTTGTACTCCAGAAATTAAAAGCGATGGCTACATTTAATTTTTTCAAACAATTTTATACAATGTAGATTCAAATAAGAACTGAAAGAGACGGATGTCTTGGAACATGAAGGGAAACAAGGGGAAAGAGCTAAAATATAATAGAAGTTCAGATGTCTTGAGATTTTATTCGGAAGTAAATCATAAATTTAAAAATTACAAAAACTAGAGGCAACAGTATTACTAAGTGTATTAGGTCTTTTCCAAAGTATCAAAAGTAATTAAAATTAGAATGATAACATCCTTTTTTTCCCTCTGGACTACTTGCACCATTATTTTCACCACTTTTTGAAAGATGGAGATAAAAAAAATTTTCCCCTTGCAAAGAGCTGTCCTAATGGGAATAATGATGACTTCGGGGGGGATTTTCATGACCTAAAACATTGCCAAAAATTATCAATAAACTACTCTTAAAATGTTTTTAAAATGCTCTAAAAGCAAAGGAAAACCACATTAAAAAAACTGATTAAAACCAGTTCAGATGAACAACTCAAGCTGTTGGATATGTTACTGACACAATCAAGGCTTCTTCCTGTCATTCAAGTGAACTTAGAATGCAACTTTTGGCATGGAAAGTTTTTTGCCAGGAAATCTCTGACTTTAATTATCCCAAAATCGGCTGAACCTTCAATAGACATCACAGGAAGCTTAGATAATATACTTACAATGGCTAAAATTACAATTTCTGAGCGAAGAAATCAAGTAGCCTACCGAGTAATTCTATGAAGAATATTGAATCTCATAAGTATTATTTGTAGCAAGTATCATGAAAATGTTTTTAAAATCAGCAAAAAATGCTTTAAAAATTATGGAAGAGTAAAAAATGACTTATAAGATGGAATCAAAAAAATATGCGAAAAAATGTCACATAAATATGGGTCATTTGCTTTTGTCATAATATAAAATTAATGTCTATACTATAACGCATTGCTCTAAAAGAAAAAAAATGACCTTCCATTAAATCTGTCCCCTAATGATAACAATATCAAAAATACATTTCTATACAATATCTCACCAATTTGGACAGGAGTACTGTGCAATGGTCGGCTGGTGCACTCCACAATACTCCGACACAGACGTATGGGATTAGCAGAAGGTTGATGGGCATGGTGCGCTACGGCCCCTGATGGCTCACTTTCAGATAAGTAATCTCCTGCTTGGACTTGTATTGATGTTTTTGATAAAGTGCCGCTGCCTTTTTTGTTCTTGTTTTGAAACACCTTTCCTTTATGCCCCAGCTGCTCCATTTTTTGCACAACTCGAGTCATAAACCTACTCAGATTACATTAACAATTGAACAAAATTACCACTTTATTAAAAGAACACAAGTGAGATATATTTTCTAAAACTAAACTGGTGTTATTTTGTTTCAATATAAAATATAAGACGTAAGTATGTTAACTATAAAACGTACTTGTGGCCAGATGTTCGACTGGCAAGATCTTGTTTTTGCAGCTCTTTGGCTTTAGCCTGAGAAGCGGTCAAAGGATTTGTCAGAGATGGTTCAATACCAGGAATAAATCCACCTAAAACACAAGTAACCATGCATGTTAGTACCAGGTAATAACTCAATAACAATCAAAATATGGAAATACCTTAAAGACTCAAGAAAGAGTTTAAATGTTCAGAAAGAACTTAAAAATATGTGTCATCAAACATTTAAAAAATATTTAATAAAAAGTTACTAAACCATTTGGCTCCAACTTACTTTCTCCTTCTGGCAAAAAAATCCCATCTTTTACAAAAGGATGATGAAGTAAATCTGGCCAAGTTAATCTCTCATTTGGATTCTTTTCTAATAAGCCCTGTGAACAACATTAGTCAGAAAATTCTTCGAACAATCTTCAATATAAAGCAAATAATGTATTTACCTTGTAAACTCTGCAAAGGATGCATGAAACAAGTAAAAATACATAATCTTTGCACAGAAAAACAAATGAGAACTAACAGATGAACAGACTGACCTGAATGAAACTGGTACATTCTGGTGAAACAAAATCTGGCCATTTCACTGGTTCATGACTAATCATTCTAACTAAATGTAAAATTGATGTTGTAGAAAAAGGAGGAGTTCCTACTATTAATTCATAAATAATGCATCCCAGGGACCTGGAACACAAATGATAGTAATAAAACCCGATTGCATTCCCAACAAAAATTAAGTGACCAGAAACCACATAAATAATACGGTACCAAAGATCTGCATTGTGATCATAGGGGTTCTCTTCAATAAGCTCTGGTGCCATGTACAAAGGAGTTCCTTTTATTGATGTTAAAACATGTGTTCCTGCACTCATACTTCGAGCAAATCCAAAATCACAGAGTTTAGCCACACCATTTGCTCCCATTAAGATATTCTGGGGTTTTAAATCTCTACAAATCATAAACATTTCATTCAGGAGCAAGCAGTTTTAACATAAAAACATTTGGTAGATAGTGAAAATATAATTTTCGATAAAATGAACATACCTGTGAAGAACTCTGTGTGAATGTAAATAATATAATGCTGAAACTAAATCACAAGCTATTTTTCTAACTTGTTCTTCAGGCAAATAACATTCAGTGCCCAAAATTTCATACAGTTCTTTGTCAGCAAACTCTGTTACAACTACTATCTGGTAACAGCAACACAACCTTTCAATCATGAATATTTAATGCATAAATAATACAATATTAGGGGGACATCAATCGGGTTACCTGATTTTCCGTTTCAAAAGAGTCCAACATATGAATGATATTTGGATGATTTAAATGCCTTTGAATTTCACATTCTTGTCTTAAACCTCTTAGCTCTTTATCCGATCTCCCTTTCTGAAAGCAATTCAAATTTCTTTACTAGCGTATATCATATGGTTTTAACGCCAAACACAAACAATAAAACATAACCTCACCAAACTACACAATACGCACCTTCGTTATAACTTTCAATGCAACAATACGATCATTAGATCGAATTTTGGCTTTAAATACTCTTCCAAAAGATCCTTCACCTATTAGCCCAAGTATTTCGTAATTATCCATTATAAAACATGACCATTTTCTATTCACAGAGGAGCATCGTAAACGTTTATACCTGCCTCAAATGACTGAACAAAACACGAACGTCAAAACATAAAAAGTAGACGATATGAGCGCAATAGTAAATAATACGAGTTATATTCCGCAAAGCTATTCGAAATTCGCAGTATATTGAAAAAGTCCACACAGCGACACTGTATTTCCTCTGTGTTAACTCGTGAGATGCGTGAATCACCCTAGTTTCAGTTGCACTGAACATTGTGCCTTTTATGTATAGGTTACATATGTTAAATTGACATTAAAAAGGGAATATTTTATGTAAAACAAATGTGCAATATGTTGTACAGTGTGTTAATTATTTGCGAATGTGTTCTTTTCGCCATAAGTGCCTCTCCAGTGGTTGACAGTGACAATTATTGCCAAAGTAAAACCCAAAATACACATTTGCACCTAGCTACAAAAACACCTTACAGATTTATTGTCAACAAAGATGATTCACCTCCTACATATGAGGGTAAATACCCTACTGAAATGTTTATTTATTCAGATATTTTACTTTCCTTCTCGAGAAACATTTTTTCATTATATTCAATTATTCGTTCATTATATTCATATTTATGCTATTATGAAAAATGACACTGTCTGTTATTCAAATTAATTAAAATTTTAAAGATATGATTAATTGTTTTAGTGCAAATTTAATCCTGTTTTAGGATGCAGTCCAGAAAAAATATGGTTGGTGGTTCGACATGGGACTCGCAATCCAAGCCATAAAGTTATTCGCAAAATGAGAGAGCGTTTGCCAATATTGCAAAATGCCATTATGAAAAACGCTGCTAAAAATAGGAGTAAGTTTATGTTTTCATTTCTATTTCACTACTTTATAATGTATGCTATTATATTAATGAATCATTCTTTCATTGTATTAATTTGACATTTCACAGCTTCCTTATGCGATGAAGAAATTGCACTGTTATCGACTTGGAGCACTGAACTAGAAGAAGCTGATGAAAAACGATTAACACATGAAGGCGAGGATGAAATGATTGAACTGGCAGAACGATTTCAAAATCGTTTTAATGACTTGTTGTCTGAAAATTATACAAATTCAACAATGAAGGTAAAATTGTTTGTTATATTCTAATGTCAAAGTTCATCATAATACATCATTTTGAAAACTGTAATTTATACTTTTTTCATTAGTTTCGTCACACAGCTACCCAGAGAACTGCTGAAAGTGCTAGGTATTTTACTGTGGGACTTTTTGGCAGAAGAGTCAGTCGTTATGTATGGTTTCCTGAAGCTTTGTACAGAGATCCAATTCTTAGGGTATGTTAAAGCAAATAGATGAAAAAAAAAATGCAATGTGTTTAGTCACTCTTCCTCTCTGTCTGATCTTGTTAATTTTTGCTTTGGCAGTTTTATAAACTGTGCTCACGTTGGAGATCTGAAGTAAAAAAGAATCCTGAAGCTTGGAAAGACAAGCAGCTATTTGAAAGCAGTCCAGAAATGATGAGAACTCTGCAGGATATAAGCAGTCGACTTGGTCTTGGAAATGTCTCCGTTGGTAAGTTCACATCACTGTAGAATTCATTGAATATAATGTAAATTTGTCCCCTACCTTACTCATTGATATTTAAATATTAGAACACCTGTACCTGGGAATTCAAGTAGTATATTAATTGGTATTATGAGGTACAGGGAAAGGTATTTGTATTCCATGATATAATTGTGTTGAGAACAAATACCTATGCCTTTTTTAGGATGCAAACTTATGATCCAAATAGGTTGATTAGTTGGTTTTCTTGCAATAGCAATTGTGTTTGTAAAATCAGTAGTTTGTTATTGATAATATTTTCACTATATTAAAGCGAATGTCAAAAGTGGCCAGGGAGGAGTTAATTTGTGTTTTAACATCAATTCATTGGTTCATCATAAAAAACACATATGAGTAACGGAGTTCTTAGATGTAATTCATCAGGAGAATTACACTCTAAAGAATAGGCAATTGTGAAGGGTTTGCATGCTCATAAAACCCGGAGCTTTCGCCTAAAAAAGTTCTGGTTTCGGAAATGCAAGGATTAATTTCTACGATTTTTTTTTTTTTTCGAGGAGGAGGATTAAAAAAAAAACACGCCCCCGGGTGGGCTCGAACCACCAACCTTTCGGTTAACAGCCGAACGCGCTAGCCGATTGCGCCACGGAGGCACGTGGAAAACTGGTTGTTCGAGTTGTGTAATCTATTCAATGTATAAGCTAATTTTTGTTATATTTAGTGTTTAGATTCAGAAGTGTTATTTTAACAACTGTTTTAAATGAAGCTGTGATATAGATTAATTAAACTTCGCGAAACTGGCAAGTGCAAATGCAGACTAGCTCTTCTACGTGATAACCAAAAAAGCAACTGAAAGCAACTACGCATTAAGCTCAACGCGTATGCGTTTGATTTTCAGTCCCTATCAGTAATATCAGCAAGAGCCATTGCAAAAGTCAATTCGCTGATAGTTCCGTATGTGATGTTGCTTTACATTTTGATATGAATCAATTTAACGATATTCATATGTGTTAAAAATTCTTGCATTTGGACCATATATACAAATAACATTTTGAATCTAAGAATAATTAACTGCATTGATTAATACCGAAAAACAAAAATAAATAAATTAATTAAAAAACGATAGCAGAGCGTGGTTTCGATCCACGGACCTCTGGGTTATGGGCCCAGCACGCTTCCACTGCGCCACTCTGCTTTGCGGTAACGAGTGAGGGAAAGACCAGTAGAAAAGACGGGAAGCTTGTACTTGTAAATATATGGGGCGATGAGGTTTAAAATTTGTGGAAGTTTAATAATGCGTAAGTGAAATGCCAAAGCGGATACATTCTATCATGCTGAATTAACATTTTGTAAAAGACATGAATTCTTCAGGTAAAAAAAAAAAAATTGTTTCCGCCCGGGATCGAACCGGGGACCTTGCGCGTGTGAGGCGCACGTGATAACCGCTACACTACGGAAACTTCGTGTTTAGTTGGGGACTCACATATGCATTTTATGCGTTTGCTTACGGTTAATATATAATGTTTTATGTAGATGATGCAGAATTAATGTATGTAACTTGTGCCTTTGAGACCGCATGGCACTGGAAGACTCCATCGCCATGGTGCGCTGCATTCTCAGAGGAAGATTTGGAGGTAAGATGTGCTAACAATATAAATACAATAATGACTATATATTTTATGTTTCAAGTTGATTATTTATTCATTGGCGCAATCAAACTTAGCAATTTGGCTGATTCAAATATTATACGAGTCGATATTGCTTTGCTGATGGTTTTCTGTATTTGCCTTTTTTGCATCAGTTTAGCAAGAATAATGGAAATTCGGTGTAATTTTAGGCTGTAATTTTGCATAAATTGTTATAAAATTTATACAGCCTATTAGTTACGCTTCACGTAATGGGTCGTCCATAAATTACAATGCTATAGAGGGGGCAGGGGGTTGAGGCAGCCTTATGTAGAAGTATGGGGTATTAATTTATTGTTTCTTAACATTGACTTTTTACATGTTTCAACGTTTTCTGAAATAATTCCTTTTTTAATCTTATTATAAAAGATTAAAATATTATCTTATTAATTTGATTTAAAAACATAAATTAACGTTATATTAATTACTTTAATAATATTAAATTATATTGATTTAATTTATGAAATTAATAAATTAAATTAACGTTAGTATAATCCATGGTGAAAATAACAGCATGGTATAATGAAGAATTCAATTAAATTGCGGCACATGACACATCCATCGTCATTCACCAAGTCGTGTGCACGACTTTTGATTATAAAGTTTCTCACCTATCCGTCCTTCCTTCACTCACAACTTGTCCCAATGCTAGGTGCAGTCACTATCGCCAACTAATTCCGACTTTAATTATCATAATATTACATTTAAAACAGAAATAAAATGAATAAACTGTGCTATAATTGATATTCACTTCTTGCATTTACAAGGGGAAGCGTGTTGTCGCAAGTGTTATGTAATTATTTAGAGGGGTTCAAGCGCGCGTTACGGATGCGTTAAAGGGAGGAGAAGGGGCAATCGCACTCGAAATTTGCGTTATGTAATTTATGGACGGCCCCTGTAAAAAATAATTAATAGTGTCACGCATCGTCAGGTGTGAACAAACATTGTATAAATTTATTTATATCTGAAAATGAAAACAAATTTTAATGTTATAGTTTAGTATGAAAGTATTAAAAATAAAATTTCTTGATAATGACATGAGTTTAAGGAATATAAGTGAAAATATATGTGTGAAACGTTGTATCGAATATGTGAAAAATTAAACAGGTTTAAAAAGTTTGTATGATGATTGCGTTAAAAGAAAATGAATACTTGAGTGCTAAATTATTAATATTGTGTTGCATTCACTGTATTTTTTATAATTTTGAAAGTTTATATTTTAAATAGTCCCTTGTTTTCTGAGATTTCTTCAATTTTTAATTTTTTTTTTTTTTCATAGACAATGGAATATCATGCTGACCTAGAATACTATTGGATCGATGGATATGGACATAATTTGACTTACAAGCAAGCGTGTCCAGTTATTGGAGATGTCTTCAACTTTTTAGAGTAAGAAATTTACATAATGCTGGCAGCTTACGTAGTTTTTACTGTAGAATTCCAATAATCTAAATTGAACCTGAATTGAGCCAGTTTGGCTAGACAGAAATTTGGATGATTGGATAGAGTTCTGATGTAATGGTAAAATTACTTCATACATACAAGAAACTTTGCTTTTACTAATTAAATTATGTTTAACAAACATCAGGTATTATATTGACTAAATTAAAGTATATTATCTCAAATTTCTTTAAAAAAATTCTTTTGTATGAAGATTTATTACGAAGGTGTAATTACATTAGATAAAATTACATATGAATGGTACCTTATGTATGTACAGTATTTTAGTTGAATCACATCAAAAATAGTTCAGTGCTTTCAAGAATTGGCTCGTTTCTGTACTGCAAGGTATATTTTCCCAATTTTGACATTTTTCTTGATTTTTCGTGACCTTTAGTGTTTGTTATGACAAGATCTTGACAACGATGAATACCGCAACTCGATACGTCTCGTAGAAGTATGAAAAATAAATAGCAAAATATTCACGTGTTAGCAGGTTCCTTTATAAACATGATGCAGTATTTTTACGCATGAATTGGAAAACTTTATTCAGTGGCTTTCACTTGAAATATAGAAAATGAATGAAAACGTGCTCCAAGAAGAGTCGAATTCAGAAAATATTTTGGGAAGTATGTCATTTCGAAACCGTCTGTGATAAATCATTTTGAAATAATATGTTTTTAAAGTAAGTAGTAATTGTTATGAGTATATTGACTCACTTAATGGGTTTAAGGAGACATGTCCCATGGGCCTACATTGGTCCAGGGTAGGGATGCCACATCGTTGTCTTGATAAAAATCGTCGATTATTCGAAGCCGATGATATTTTAACATGAATGTTTCCTTTCATGTTTTGTTTTTTAATGAAAAATGTACCATAATAATAATAATAATAATAATAATAATAATAATAATAATGTATATTGATTTTCTGTTATTCATAAATTCCACATAGTTTTTGTTTTGATAGATAAATTCGATATCATTTGTGAATTATCCAATCAGGTGATAAAGGATTTGTTAAATATTCAGGTCATTTTTTCCCTTCACTATCTTGCAAATGAAATCTTATTAAACGCGACAACCTCTAAATTCAATGACCCCTACTTGAACATGGATGATTACTAACGCAGGTTTAAGAACATCGATGTGTAAAAACATTTTATTTGTTAATTTTTTTTTTTGCGTTGGACCACGCGTGCTTTATGCATTTTGCTTGGTCCTTGGATGAAGGTGCTGGAGGGATCAGCATTTTAACTGAATCCCGATTTTTATGTGCCAGGGTTGTTAGTCCTAGGAGTATGAACGATGAGATGATGATGATGATGATGATGATGATGATGATGATGGTGGTGGTGGTGGTGGTGGTGGTGGTGGTGAGACGGCACACACATATATACAGAAACAAATACATTCATGCCCGAGTCAGGGCTCGAACCCGCGGTCCGAGCCCGCTACGGCACTACTGCCCTAACGATCTCGGCCATGTGACCGGCTTTTGGGCCTTTTATCCACTTTTTTTTAAAATAATTTTCAATATCAGGTTTCAAAAACGATGATGTTTTGTTGCCGATGTCGCGTGCCTCGTCGGAGCGAGCGAGGTTTTGAGTGCGTGCGCGCGTGCGCTTGCGCAGCGGGACGGGCCACTGGGGCCGCGAGGCGCGCGCCGTGGTGTACTTCACGCACTCGGGCACGCTGCTGAAGCTGCTGGCGCACCTGGGGCTGTACCGCGACGCGGAGCCGCTGCGCCACGACAACTTCGCGCGCCTGCGGACGGGCCGCGACTGGCGCGTGTCGCGCATCGACGCCTTCGCCACCAACCTCGCCTTCGTGCTGTACAGGTGGGTGCTGCCCTCACGCCACGCGTCCAGCGGAGGAAACGCAGACAAGCAGAGGGGTCGCCACGTTACTGAATTTTCGACACTAGCTAAACAGCCGAGTGGAATTCTGCTGCTGTCTGGAGAAATATTTAAGCGACTGGCTGCTCTGATCGGTAGTTTTCCTGGTTTCTCCGATCAACACCAGGCGAATGCCGGAGCAGTACCCTCACAGACGGGTCACGGAGCGCGCGCGATCGTTGCTTCCTAATCCTTGCCACCCCATCTCCTCATATTTCCAAACTTACGTGCATACACTTCCACTCATGTCTTTATCACAAATCTTGCCCAGTAGGAGAAGTGCCCCGCTTTAGTGACACCTAGAGGGGGAAACCCTTAGCAAGTCAACGTGTAGGTCGGCGCCGACCGTCGGTTCGGAGATCTAGCAAGTTACACCGAAACCATCCGGAATATAACAGGCACTGCACATACGGGGCTAATAATATTTGCTGTTGGCGCGCCGAAAAAACGCAATAATGAATCAATCGATCCTTCTTGCCATTCGTCTTCCGCTCTGCCCGTCGCTTTCTACCGTCAGACCCAATCTTGTATTTCTTTCGAAATTCACACCTTGATTTTCGTACAATTCAGTTTTTAGCGACGAAATTTGGTTATGTTTATTCGGTTGCATTCACCCCGTCCTTTATTCGGGGAAAATGTAATAATCCATTGTTATTTTTGCTTGCATTTTGTGTGCGACAGATGAATAATCCAGCTTGAGGCCAAAGGCAATTCCGAATGTCTATCATTTTACAAAGGCAAGCCACATTGTAAAATTCTTGATATAAATTACTTATTTGAAAAATATTTTTGGGCATCTGGAAATGATTGACAATATTTACATTATTTATTATGGGAAATCGTGCGATTTTTGTCAGATTTTTTAAAAGGATTAATTACAAAAACCGAGGTTCCACTATGCTTCCTTATCACCAATTTCCATGTTTCTTCCTCATTGATTCATCCTTCCGTCCCAGATTTTTTTGTCTCGAAGATGATATTTGTAATCAGTCGACAAGTATAATACGATCCATTTATTGAAAGTATTTAATTATATCTTCTTCCAAAAAAATTGCATTGTCAGTATATGTGAGAATCAACAATAGATTATTACACTTACCTTGCTGTGATTTAGTGTATTTTGCAAGAAAATTTCGTTTATGAAATGTGTTAATGATTGTCTCTGTATTCAGAATGTCAGTGATCATGTGGTAGCTTATGGGGAGATGTAGCAGTTTCCCAACCCCCTGGCTGCGCGCTTGAGCGAGTCGCCCTCGAGCGAAGAAGAGAGGTAACTATTGGGCTGTCCGGAAGAAGGGCCGCGTCTTAGGCTCAGGTGCCAACGTTCGGCCGCCATTCTGCGACTTTCTTCAGAGCGATGGCCGCGGCCGGCGTCTCCCACGCAGCCAAGTAGTTACTGACTCCGCTCTGGAGACGCGAGGTGCAGCGGAGCGCGCTTTTGCAGGTGCGAGGACGGTCCGCGGGTGCTGACGCTCCACCAGGAGAGACCGGTGGCGCTGCCCGGCTGCCCGCCCCACCACGACCTCTGCCCCCTGGAGACGCTGCGCGACCAGCTCCATCACAGCCTGAGCGCCTGCGACTTCGACGCCATGTGCGGTCGCGACCGCTAGCGCACCCGACGTCTTTTCCTCCCGTTGGTCGCCGCTCCAACTCCACGAAAGGGGCTCTTCCACAGAGGATTTTTTTTCTTTCTTTATTCGAAACGAGGTCGAGCCGTTTTACTTAGTCATAGGTTTTCTGTACTTTTCGCTTATCTGTCGACAATCGTGCTCTGTAACGAACTTTTTCATCTGTCCTGTTAATTTTTTTACTCCTCTCTTCTTTCTTTTTAGTAATTTCTATTTCGAGACCTTTACCCGTCTTGAGGAAAACGGTTTCTTTTCCTGTTATTTACAAGATTTAATGTTGCAAAAGGCTGCTCATTTTGAGAAAACGTTTTAAAACGGGAGCGAGGGGTCGCGGAAGGAAAGAGGTTATTGGAAAACCTGGCAAATATATTTATTGTCTTTAACTTAAATCCTGCTACTCCGCAACTACTTTTTCTGATTGAAATATTAGATAGGCAAAATCGATTTCTGCACTTGCATTTGTCTTTATATTACTTAATAGATAAGCGTGCGCTAGAAAAACATTCCAAACATTAAATAAATACGTTTCATGTGATTTCGTATTTGCAGTATTTCGTAGTGCATTTTAACATAATTGTGTTGCTTTAATGTGTAATGCAACTTCATTAAGTTCGCGATTTGCTTTTTCAAGGTAACGAGGTAAATTGCGCTTTAATTTACGATAAGTCTGTGACGCCTTTTCCGACATCGTGACGTCATTTCCTCGGCGCGCAAAAAAGAAAAAAATAACCCGTCAGCAGCGCCGATCCGTCGCCCCCTTCCCTTCCTCTTCCCTCTTCCTTTTGCATCAATTCCATTAGACTAAACGGCATTTCGTTCATTCTCGAATGCAGAAAACGGACAGTTTTTCAGACGGGAAGGGAAACTTTGGAGCAAGATGGACGCGGGTCTTTTGCCCCAGCAGCAAGTTTATAAACCAAAAATTTTTACTCCAGTAGTTATATTGTGTTTCATTTATTTTTAGAGGAATTTTACTCATTTTTTGTTTATGTCGCCGCCGCCGGCGGCGTTCGCGCGCGCGCGTGTGTTTACTGAAACGCGCCGTTCTGCCGTCCGCGCGGCTGCCTTTGGCCGCCTCGCAGATCGCCTCCGCAGGCAGCCGGATGCCGCGCGAGGTCGGGGTTTGAACCCGGATCTCCCTCGGAGAGGGCCGGCGCGGCGGGGGGCTGCTTGTTCCGACATTTCCAGTTAGCAGAGACTTCACACTAGAGGGAAGCCAGTTCGCACTGCTTGGATGATGTCCTGAAGTCGATGTATGGAAATGTTCTTTTAAGGACTTGAGGAGCGGTGTGACTTTCGAAATATCTAGGCGTTTGTTAGAACTAGAATAGAAAACTAGTATGGTAGGTTTGTTGTTAATATAACCTCACATCTTTATGTTAGAATTTGATGAGGTATAGGTTTTCACTGAGCAACGTAAATGTTACGTGAATGTCAGAAACTAATATAATTTTCAAAACGATTAAATTGTCAAAAAAAAGAATCATTTATTTTATCTGTATACTGCGATTGAATATACAGTTGTACGTTTTTATGGATGTACTGTTGCGATTGCAAAAGAAAAATAGATACCTGGATATACTGTAAGACTGATTTTGTATATCGGGAAAGAAATGCTAAATTGATCTCTCTTACTGTTTCTATGATGCAGTTGGCATTTTCTATTAACTTCCAAAATTGTATCTCGAAAATGGCATTACAGGGACTTGAGCTCAATGGTGTGATATGGTAGCGGTGCAATCGGCCGATGATACTTAGTTCGTCAAATAGAAAAGTTGATCTACTGTTACTTGCCTCTGATGCTTTCATTGTGTTACACGAAAAATAAAATGTGTAACAGCCTTAAAAATACGTTCTCAATCGAATATGTGATAAACTAGTAATTTTTGAGGATGCTAGAAATATTTAACAAGGTATAAATATTAGTTTATCATTTTCTGTTTAATATTCCAGACCAATACATGATTAATCGGTAATGTACGTGGCCCGTAAATCACTTATCTCTGAATTAACTCAACATGAATTTCTAGAATGCCTTACTGTATCTTATAGAGTCATCTTTCACTATAGATATTATTATTCATACCCTGTTGTGAATTTGTATGTATGCTTGTTATTTCTGAATTGTTAAGAAATTGGAAAGTGGTTTTAATTGAGATTGCTGTGAAAATCGGAATTATGTATTTTGCAACCTCTCTGTTAATGTGTGATATTCTCTCTGTTGATGTAAGGTAATCTCTCTGTTAATGTACGATATTCTCTCTGTTAGTCTATACAGGTGCCTCAAAATAAATGTTACACACTTCTAGAGCATGTAAGTGGCATTTGGCTCTAATGTTTAGGCAACCCCGTATGAACATATGTTTGGCAAGTCTCGTTCTGTCGCAGACAAGGGGCTTTTAAATACCTGCCGAACATTGTGCATGCGGCGTTGCCTAAATATCGGAGACAAATGTTACATATATAAATGAATAGGATTCCGTTATCCAATTTATCACTATATGTCCGCGGGCAAAAAGTTGTTATATTCGACCATTACATGCCCTGGTAGTTTGTAACATTTGTTCCGACACACCTCTCTGTGTATAAAATTCACCCTGCGCAATCATGATGCAATGAAAATGTTAATTTGCACACTTTATTTTTGTGCTAGTTAAAACGAATAGTTTTTAAGTGATTGTGACGTGTGAAGATGGCAGCTTTGTTGGTAGCACCCACACTTAGACAAACGGATATTTTGATTTCTGTTTCTATTGTACCTTTTTGCAATCGGCGATTTGGCTTTTTACTCGTACTACAAAAGACACTTTTGATTTGACTGATATACAAGTATAATAATTTCCTACCTCGACTAACTCAGCAGCTTAAAGATGTATTCATACCCTTCCGAACCATACTTCTGTACGCAGAGCTTTCCTGACTGCATTTAAAACAAAACAGCCAAATATCGTACTTGTGTGGTTGCAGCATCCGCAATATAGATTAGTCTCATCACTCACCGAACTTTTTTTCTGTCCTAAATAAATATTATGTACTTTTTACGATGTTGTGACAAGCTCTCAGTTTATTAACTTTATGCGCTAAATTTGTGCTGTTACTTTGATGCTACAATAAAGCATTGGCTGTAAAATGTGTTTTATTTACCCTTCGTCGCTATTTGCAAATTTTTTATCTCTCTGATGGCGTCAACCACTTTTATGGTGATCCCCACCAAGGGAGGAAGCCAGAAAATTCATCTTTCTAGTACCTTCCCTGGCCCTCTTTCTCTCATGCTGTTTCACAGAAGTGTTGTTTTTCCCCTTATTTTTTTATAAATATCCTCCGGGCATAATGTTTTACTTCCCAAAGTTTGGTCTGGGCAGTGGTTTCCAAATTAATTATTTGCTATACTTATGTTTGAGCGTACACATGCTTGCACGGCATCATTGCACGTTAAAGAACTTATTGGATAAACAAAACGTTTTCACCATTTAATGAGAGCAAAAGTGTATTTTCACTCGTCTCCCAGTGCCTAATCATAATTATCTTTATCAATAATTATTGGTTTTATAGTGTAATTGTACACTATATTGAGTAACACACACTAGAAAGCTATTTTTTGACATGATAGGCTTATATGTAATCCTCTATTTTTGTTTGTATTTCTGTATGTAATTCGTAGTTTTTATAAAAAGTAATTTCACATTCATATTTGATATTTCTTCAAAGTTTTCATATTTGTAAATTCCGATTTTTATTATGTCATTTTTAAATTTTATGTTGTTTCAATACATAATTGCAAATAAGGTCATTGACATAATTCGTAAAGTGCTGTTGGGTGTAGGCCCCTTATCTCCGACGTGGCTTTGTTCACTTTTCTAGGGATCCTGAGAGCGAACGCAGAGATTGTCTTTTGTTTCTTTGCAGACAGTAAATACAGATTTCCTCCGCTTCGCATCAACGCCATACGTATGATAGTGTAGTTTCTGTTGGGGATCGTTGTAGCCCTTCAGATGGCCTTTATTATGTACTAATATTTTATAATTATTATTTATCAAAACAGTGCACTCTTATTTACATTGAAATGAAATTAATACGATTTTATTTCAGTATTCGATGGAAACTTTCAATTGTTTCTTTTCTATTATCATAAACTAAGTGGTAATTCAGCGTTGCCTAGGAATTTATGTATCATATTCATCTATTGTGCTGCCCCGACAATGCTGACCATCCCACTCTGCCCATCTGTATTGTGTCACACTCTGTCCAACTGCGCAATCGGCAACCTTGATAGTCATTTCTCCGAGCCCCGTTACTCGACAACGAAGCGACGGCTTCGGATTAAAGCGCGAGTTAATGCAGCTCCCATTCAGCCTGAAAGCCTTTAAACACGGTCTCGCCTCATTCGCGGGCTGCTCTCATCTTGAATTTTCTGACCTTCCCTTCCTCCTGTGAGCAAGCAGGGAAACACAAATGAAAGAAACCGAAGAAAAGCGCAAATAAATAAGTAGTCTGGTAGTTTATACTCCGGATATTTGTTGACAAAAGAGAGGAAGCCGCGCATTATCAGCACTCGCGCCGGAAACGGCCTCCGTTTTCTCGCCTTCTGCTAATTAAATTCGTGCGCAAATAAACAGCTTTTCTGTCCCGCAGCCTAAGTCAACACAAGCGACCTCCCCGCAATAGAACCGACTCTTCTTAACAACCGCAGGAATTCACAAAGACTCAAAGAGGGGAGGGGGGCTCCTGTATACTTGCTTTCAAAACTTGAAAACAGATGCGATAAAAATGTTATGAAAACATTGTACATTTTTGATGAGAAAATATTTAAAATTTAAGGAGGGATATATCATATACGTATGTATACTGTACGTAAAAGATCATCAAGTCCAAAAGTCGTCTGAGCTAAATTCTAATCATCGCCGCGCGTGTTACCTTCTTTCGCTACTAGATGTCGAAAGGAGCGGAGCGAAATTTGCGTGGTCAGACAGAAGCGCAGGCCTGATGCCCTGAGCATCACCACTCAGAAATAAGGAACAATTGAATCGAATATCGGAAATTAATGTTGCTTAAGTTTCAAGAAGGGCGTTCGATGATAGTTTTGGTTTTCATCCCTTAACATACCTCATATCTCGAGAATCGATTCTTTACTTTGAAAACACAGAGAATTACATCGTGAATCCGCGAACGAAACGGCATTCTGCAGGAAGTGAGAAACAGTAAAGAAATATCGTATAACCTAATCATATTAGGGCTCAATTGACGCTTCACTACACATGTCGTAGTTGGTGAAGAGGCTTCGATCCCGGCGATTAACATGAAATAATATTTTGTTGTTATTTTCTTATTTGACAAATTACGAAGCATTTTATGACAAAATACTTTGCTGACGATCAGTTTGTAGGAAAAAAACTGTTTCTAAGAATTTAATGACGAAACTGACTTAAAATGGAATTATCGACGACGCATTTGTTGAACAATTGCTTCTAAAATAACTTGAAAAGAATATTTCATGTTTTTTGCAAATCTTACATCTCTACAAATTCTTCACACCTACACATATTCATCGCTGAGTTGTGCTTACACTTTGTTCTTTGTGCACAATATAATCCATGAATATGATAAATGCAACTTTGAGTAGCGTTTGGTTTTAGTTGTTTCGGATTATTACAGGCTTCTTTCAGATTATAAATGTATAGCTCGCATTACTACGTGTTAGCATTAGGATGTTTTATTTCTCGCATAACTACGTGTTAGCACTAGGCGAAATGTTAGAGCACCCTAATACAAATTCAATTATACATTATGAGTCTTAAACTTAACGATATTTCAAACATTTAAAGTACTCTCAAATATCGTGATTGAATTCAGTCAAATATATTACTTGCTATCTTCATTACATACAGCGTACTTGTATAAAGAAAATAAGCATTCGCACAACAAATGATTTCGTATAAACTTCAGACAAAACTTTAAAAATGTTACATATTGCTTAAATTCCTATAAGCTCTGTTATATATTTCTGTAAAAGTGTACTTATGTTAACAATACATCGGTGAGAAGCTTTCCATCCATCGAATAATCTTCTGAAGTTTGGCTCATTTTTTGATAAAGAATGTTCCGTATTAAATCGCTCATTTCCGAGCACACTATTCAATAGAATGGTTACTATTGTAACGTATTAGCCAGCGTGCCTCATGGCATCTATTTGGGGACGCTTGGTTGCGGATTAGTCTCGCCACAGGAAGAAGGGTTTTTCCGTAAAGGGAAGAACGCGGAGACGGGAGACACAAGGCTTTGGGTGTCTTCCGGCTTATAGAAGCTTTTCTCTGTTATAACAAGCGAGGGGGTGGCGTGACGTAGGAGGTCACGTGGGCCTCGCCTATATAACAGAGTTTACGGAGCCAATAGGCAGGTTCTGGAGACGGTGGGAGAACCTCGTGCGTGTGCACAAAACTTGGCGCTACGACGGTGCATATGCGAGCCAGGCTCGCGAGGCTGTAGTCATTAGTTGACGAAGCCTGCGGACTTCATGTCCTTGGGTGACTGCGGTCACGGGGGAGCGATGCTGTGTGCGTGCTCCGAGGTGAAGAGTGGTTGAGTGCCACGATTCACGCCGATTCTCAATCGGATAAGATCGCTCCTGCGATCGAGGCAAACCAGCCGTTGGTGCGCCAGAACGGACTTAGTGTCCCAGCGTGACATCCGGTCACGGAAGCTAGGCTTTGTGCGCGCTTCAAAAGTAGGAGTGGCGAATGCCACAATCAAAACCATCTTCAATCGGGTTTGGATCGCTCCCGCGATCAGGGGATAGTAGGTCTATCAGAGCTAGGGTGTAAGTAGATTATTAAGTGTATATATTTGTTTTGTTTTCTTGTTAATAAATATATTTGTTATACGAAAGCTCTGTGTCTGTGGTCGCTGTGAGTATCCATGACGTCACACTATCTTGGCATGTACAGAATGAATTGAATTGCAGGTTGTACCCATGTAGAGGTACACTGACGTGAGATCTTTCCAGAAATAAAGTTCACGAGAAGGCAACTTCATATGAAATGCGAAGACGTTGGAACGATGTAAGAGAATGTAGAAAACTAATATTGTTACAAATAATTCATGATACAAAACGAAAAATAAATGAGTTATATGTACGAAATGAGAATGTTCAAGTAGAAGTTATGTAGATCGTTAATTTTCGAAATACAGTGTGTCATTTTCTCATTTTACAATAGCGCCCTTGTAAACCCTCTTCTCTTGCTTATATCCGTCGCGCATCTCGCAGATAACCATTTACAGAAATTCTTCTTTAAAGTTCCGAAATAAAACGAGGAAAAGTAGCTCATTAACTCGTTGAGCTTTTATAACGTGCCCTAAAAAATTTAAGAGCCGTAAGTACAACACTCCGTACTGTCAGATCCACTGAGAAGGATACAGCGGAGGTCTCTCCTAACTGCCATCTCGTTGGCTCGAAGAAAGCGGTGTCGTTCAGAGCAGCTGTTTTCCGCGAGGAACGACTCTTTCCAGAGCGCGGCCACAGTTGACGAGCCTGACAACCAACGTCTGTCCTCTTGTGTTGCAAGGGCGCTTCTCAAGTTCGTGGACAACGCGTCCAACGTGTAAGATTTGTTTCTTCTTTTGATTCGAACCAGAGAGTACAACGATTCAAACCATAGATCCAGGTTTTTGGACCCATTTCAATATTTTATGAAGAACGTTATTCAAGTCACATTCTGTAAAAAAAAAAACTGAATTTTGTACGAACTGTGACTTCTTGTTGAACTATAAATTTCGTATGAGTGTGTAATTTGTTGTACTATATACATTGTATAATTTTTGCAATATTTGAATTCTCCTCCATTTTTTAAATGCAGCAAAAAATATTCGATTGTAAATTAATCCAAATATTACGATGTATGCTTTGCGTTGCCGACTAACCTTAGAAGTACTTAAATACTTGGTAGTAATCCTTAGTATGATTAATATTTACGTAATTTTTTTATCTACTTAGGGACGACAATGGATTTATCATGAATACAATGATATGTCGAATATAATGTTTGAATGTACAGTATGCATGTCCGATGACTTTTCCGTATAAATTAATTTTATATTTACAACAATTTGTGACAGTTTTTTTATTATCAGGAAACAGAAGCAAGATTGATATTTGTGTTTTCAAAAGTTGTTCCATTTCTCACAGTTTCAGTTAAAAGCATTCAAATTTTAGTTTCTTTAATTCAATACGCAATATTGTGCGTTTTACGGACGAACACTAGTGAAAAATATCAAAGAAGATGGAACTTTCAAATTATTTTTGAAGAAGAAAGAAAGAATGCTTGACCCAAGGATGTGTGGTCACGGTCATGAAATGATAAAACACTAAAACTCGTTTGTTCTGAAAAACAATCCCGCGAATACAAATTTATTGTTGTCATTTTTCTGGTTATAAATTTCTATTTCGAAAAAAAT